TATTGAGGGGGTGGGGGAAAGAAGCCACTGAGATTCCAGTGACCTCTGACCATGACAAATACCTTCTTGTGTTTCTACAGTGGAATTCAAGTACAAGACTATTCAACCAAATTAGAAACAAGTATCCCTAAATTCGGAAAAGAGGGTCTTAGATACTGTTTGAGCAAAAAAGCATACCCGTTTTAGAAGCCATTGCTCCATTTCCTGGGTCACACTCACTTCTGTTTTGACTTTTTGCCATGGAGTAACATATTTTTGAGCTGTAATCTGAAAGAGAAAATATAGTTTCCTGCTGTTATTCTTACAAAATTCAATCAAACTCTCCTTCTAAACACCAAGAGGTTAGCAGGTATCAAGCGGATATAGGGACTATCCAGATTTCATAACCAATATCCTATTTTGGAATGAAGATTAGGTCTAAAATGAGGGGATTGGAAAAATAGATCATTATTTCTCTATTAGTTCTCTAAGTCCATCTCCATCGCTAAAGAGATTATAACAGGGGACCTGACTTAGATGAGGGTGGGGAGGCAAAGAAATGTCATCTAAGACAAATCCTACAGGATGAGTGTCCTGCCTGGGACATTCAAGAAATTGTGAGAATGCAAGTGTGGCCAGACAGAGCAAGTCAGAGAGAGCCGCTGGAGTGAAGGGGGCCCAGGGCGGCAGTCAGAAAGGGCTTTGTGGGTGTTATCAGGAGTGAAATAAGCAGCCACTGAAGAAGTTAAGCAGGGGAAGGACATAATGTTTGGTTTTAATAAGACAACTCTCCTGAAGAACAGGTACAGTAGAGTGTAGAGGCTCCAATCTGGAGTTTCTGTTTCTTTCTAGGCTCCGTGTCCCAATCTTACCTGAACTTCTTGGGACTCATAAAAAAAATCATCATTATTACTGAGGCTGTGGCAACGGTTTTTGTTACTCGTAACCACGAATGCTACCTAATGCAGTCACTTCTGGTAGTGCAAACAAGAAGATGAATAAATAAGATCTTGGGAAAATGTCATGAGAAAGAAGAGAAGGGATAATGTAGCTCGCCAGTACCTCACTGCTTTTCACAACAAGGGTTCTCTCTGGCTTCTCATGGTCATCAAATTCTGGTTGCCAGACTGATTCTTCTAATTCCAGATCTAAAATAATTTCTTGAATTCTTATATTTTTTTCCTTCACACGTGCAATTTCAAATTCTTTTTGTTTATATGCAGCATCAAACTCATTATTGAAAACAGTTTTTACCTTGTAAATGATATCCTGAAATATCAATATGTTATTGAAAACACATTACGTATTATATCTTTACTAGTAACATGATCCCACAGTTTTACTTTCCCCCTAAAGTCATTTACGAGTTATCGGTAAATTAATCTTTATAAAATACTGTTTATATTAAGTCATTTTTTGGCTCAGTAATCTACAGTGACATCTCACCATGAGCAGGATTAAGGCAACAACTGTTACAACTTACTTCCCAAAATGTAAGTTTGTAACTCAATATGCAGCTATGTTGATAAAAGCTGAAATAAGTGATAAATACTTGGAAGTTCTTTAGGCTATTCTCTCTACTTTTGTGTATGTTCTAAGAAAAAAAAAATCCATCATAAATATTTTAAAAGCAATATGTAGTATTTAAATTGGGAAATGTCTTTTCTTTGGAACCATGTCTGGGGGAGATGTGAGGAAGAGATGGCCTGTATTGGAGAATCTTCCAGAGGAGCACAACCACACACAATATTCTTCCTCTCTACAGTCAGGTCATTCTCAGTTAGGTAGGTGACACAGGCTGGCTAGTTGGAGCGGCCAATTACTAAAGTGGCAGTGGGTCTAATTGGATTGTCCTTACCTCTGCTGATGAGTAGAACATGGGTCAACTCAAAGTAGCCGTTATTTTGCCATCACAGTTCAGTCTATATATCTATCCTGAAGATTAAACCATTAAAGCAGGGGGGATAAATGATCTTAACAGCTGGCACCAGAAAATTTCTGTTGGGCTGAAATTACTTTTTGTAGGAAAATGCCTTAATAAAGCCACTGGAAAGTGAGATCCTGAGGGTGTGGATCAGCAGAAGCTGAGCAACAAGAGATAACTAAACAGTTTTTATTATAAATGCACAGGAATTTCAGAGGCTGAAGGAGAAGAGAAAAAGGCAGGAAGAGAGAGCAGAGTAACATGGCAGGAGGCTAGAACTCAAATTGCAGACATGACTGAAGGACTTTCAAGATCAAGAATGGCCAATATTAAATTTCAAACTATTTGCATTGGTGCAATCTCAGTCACTGAATTTTAAAAAATCTTCAGTAGGCATACACAGGTGTGTTCTGAGACTGCCTTGAAGGACACTGCACCTTAGAGAGGAAATTGTATTTCTCCAGGTTAAAGGGATAGATAAAGCAATCACATCTTGATCATACAACGAGGTTCTAATTGACATCTGAGTTACCTAGAAGATGGCATTCAAGGGTTTCTTTTATCTTTGAGCTTACAGAAGATCCGAGTAGAATAATGATTTGTTTGTGGTGTCTGCCAGTCTAGAGTATTCTTTGGAAAACCTGTTATCACAGAACTCAGTCCAAATGGATGAAAGTAACTCTTGAACACAAGCTCTGTTGAAATAACATGGACACTAGCAATCTAGATATTTCTCTGTGTACTTTAAAGTCATTTTTTGGGTAAAGGGAATCAAATATATAGTAGCTGAAGGAAACGACTCTGGGGGGTAATCACACAATAGAATATACAGATGTCAAATTATAATGTACACCTGAAAATTATATAATTGATTAACCAATGTTACCCCAATAAACTTAAAAAAAAAAAACACCATTGGATTGGCATTAGATTTCAATTTGAGCCTTTGCAAGACACCTCATGAAGATTTTTAGAGATTTTCAAGGATAAAGAAAAAAATTCACCCACTTTCAGTAATATAATTTGGTCGATTTTCTCTTCTCTGGAATGAAGTTCCAGTTGGCTTGACAACAACGAGGTATGTACCCCAAAATCAGTACTCAGACTGCCAAGCAGGTAATTGGGCAAACTGGTATCTTTTTCTGCCACATCTTCTTCCTCTTCTTCATCCTCCTCTTCATGATGCTTTTTAGACAAGGTAATTGCTGACTGAACCTCTACAATTTCCTTCCGTATCTAGGAAAACATGAAAACATGACATGGAAGTTATGCAATAATAAGAATTTTCTAAAGGGCAATTTTGTGAAAACTTAATTATTTCAACATTCATTTTAATTTGGTGTCTTGTCAACGACTGAATTCAAAGTGATGGTTAGATCCTGAAATTGCTACAGAAGAGAGTAAAGCTTCAGAAACTGATAAACTGTGGATAAACCAAAAGAGTAAAAATTGTTCTTGATAGTATGTAATAGTTGCATTTTGCTGTCAGGATGACAGCTGCTTGTTAATATTCTGAGTCTTTGTTTGGTACTTCAACATTAAAAGTATACCTTTTCTTCATATTTCACAAAGGAATTTGTTCACATAGGACTGGTGGATATAGGTTAAGAAGAATAAAGTAAACCTTCATTTTATCATTCAGAAAGAGAATGGATGCAAGATTCTGGCCAAAGCAAAATTATGCCAGTGGGGCAGTGGTTTTTTGGTTTTTGGTTTTCGGGGTTTTTTTTTTTTTTTTTTTCAGTAGTTTTATAGAAACTGCTGCTTTATTAAAAAAAAAAAAAAAGGCTGGAATTGCTTTAGGAAAACCATAATTCCATCAAAACAGATACTACTTAATCTTTGGTCAATTATCTTAAAATACAATCCCTAGAGATAAGAGAAGATAAACAGAGTATAGGTAGATGAAGACAACTTCTGATCAGGACAAGAACAAAACCTCAAATCTTATTTTAAAGAGTATATCCTCATATTCGAGGGCTAGCCAGTGTTGTGTGAGATATAGGCTTCTTGACTTGTTGTGTGGATTTAGCTCCTATATTCATGAGAATATATTCTATAAATTAAGAAGGAATGAAAATGTAAATACAAACAATATCTGAACTTATCTTAAATTGTATCCCAACTCAAATCTATACGAAGAAGACCTTGAAATAAAAAACATCACTTATGTGAACACACATATATTTAAAATTATACTTTTAAACACTCTGTTTCAATCTTCTTTTGCTGAAAAACTCTCTTCACTTCTTTCAACTCTTCATCTGTGCGTTGTTTCATTGGGAAGTTCTCAACCACGTAAGGGATGTGAAAGCACTTGGGGAAAAAACACACACAAAATAAATTCATTTTCAGTACCAGTCTGTGTATTTGGGATGGAGTGAGAAATGTTTTTCCTGATTAAAATTTATTCATAGGTTATCATGCATGAGTTAAAATTAAAAATGGAAATTTTCTTTAAAATAAGACAATGTATACCATTAGCACTGGTGTGAACTTTGTATAAAAATACTGTGCTTTTGTGAAGGGTTTACTTCTAGAGCAATGGTTCCCAACTAGGAATAATTTTACTTGTCTTCCTCCCTCCCCAGCCCCTTGGGGACATGTGGCAATGTCTGGAGACATTTTTCATTTTTACTAATTTGGGTACTGGATGCTACTGGGGTCCAGTAGCTTGAAGCCAGGGATATTGCAAAACAATCCATAGGACAGCCCCCACAACAAAGAATTACCCAGCCTAAAATGTGCAGCTCTTGAGAAATGCTGTTTTTGAGTAATGCTCAATCACACACATGTAGGTTGACTATATACTTCATTATCCACATTGGAGTGGGGCTGGCATATTTGAAAGTGAAAAGGGTACTGTTAAAAGTTACTCTAGGGCCACAGTCATAAACTGGGACTTTTGGTTCCCCTACACAAACAGGAAATTTGTGTTGGGAGGAATCTCGATGAAAAAGTGTGAAAAATAGGGCTTTAGAAAATGTGAGGTAGAAATGTGAACAATATTATGTTTAGTTTTCAATCTGTGTGGAAGGTGAAGTGGCCTTTTGGAATAGACAGATACTAAGACCTGGATGCAGGTAATGTCATAAAGTAAAGAGGGAAAGAAGTGATAAGACAAATCTTAAGAGATGCTGGCTTAGAAGCACACAGGGCCTGAGCAGAGAGGGAAGAATGAGACAAGAAAAAGTGACACATCTAGGTAGAATTCAGTACGGAAGGAGGCAAGGCATGCTTTAAATGCTTTTCTCTGTATGGATTTTCTTCAAAATATTTTAAAAAAGTTTTTCTGCCATGAGACTTTCAATGAAAATTCCCATTGGCTAAGGTGTTGTACCTGGAGTTATATCTGTTACCTTAAGAGCTCGACCTTTCACAGCCATTGAATTCCAGCATTCTTCTTTAATAAGTTCAGCCAAATATCTCTTGGCTAGGTTATGCATCTCTGCATCCTTTCTTATCTTGAAGAACATGGATGAAGGGAAAAGTAACAATGAAAATGTGATCTCTCAAAAAAAAAAAAAAATCTCAGTGGTAAATTCACTAAGTCATGGCTGCACATTTAGTGGTAGAATCTGATCTTCTTTCCGCAACACCTGGTGCTTCTCTGAACTGAGATGCACTTTGGTGGGAGCACTTCCTTGTCTTTGAGAACCTTTCTTGAAGTTTAGTCTGGAGGCTTGGGATTCCCTTCCTTGAGGACCAGGGTGCCAACACAAATACCTCTAAGGGCAGATAGGTCCTACACATGAGCCAAGGTGGGTGTGGGAACAATTGCACAGCCATGATGGGCTGGATGGCTAAGACACATGTTATTAGAGATCCGGCTGGTTAGTGCAGGGTGGGGAAGCAAATCCACTGTGCTAAGTCTTCCTGTTTTGTTAGAGAAATCTGAAATTTGTAATTTTATGAAACTGTCAGATATCTAAATGTTGGTTTAATTTTGGTTAACTCATGTTTAAAGTACCACTTCGTGACCTCTGTCTTGAGGCCTTTACTGCACTTCACCAGTGGTTAGTAGGTCAGCAGACCAGAGAAGTGGGGTTGTGGGGCTGGGTAGTCAGACATGAGTTTGAAGAGAAAAAAAAATACTAGAGTGAGGATGAGGGCAGGCACCTAACCCAGATTCACTGCAGAGTGGTCTAGCTGAATGAGCTGGGAGAACCCGGTGCCAGAATAGGAAAGGGCATTCTAGGCCTGAGTGAAACCAGGGCCAAGGAGAAAAGTTTGAAGCCTGGTGGACAGATCAAAAGCACTTCCTGGCTCAGATCTGAGTTGTGGGTTCTTAGCCATGTGATCTAGCTCCAAAGCCTGTTTCTTCAAGTGAAGAAAACCATTATTTACCTTTTTGGATTGTTGTGACAACCAAAATAAACAACATTTAAAAAGCCCCTAAATTGATGCCAATTTTCATAGTAAAGAAAAAGTTTTTCTGCCATGAGACTTTCAATGAAAATTCCCATTGGCTAAGGTGTTGTACCTGGAGTTATATCTGTTACCTTAAGAGCTCGACCTTTCACAGCCATTGAATTCCAGCATTCTTCTTTAATAAGTTCAGCCAAATATCTCTTGGCTAGGTTATGCATCTCTGCATCCTTTCTTATCTTGAAGAACATGGATGAAGGGAAAAGTAACAATGAAAATGTGATCTCTCAAAAAAAAAAAAAAATCTCAGTGGTAAATTCACTAAGTCATGGCTGCACATTTAGTGGTAGAATCTGATCTTCTTTCCGCAACACCTGGTGCTTCTCTGAACTGAGATGCACTTTGGTGGGAGCACTTCCTTGTCTTTGAGAACCTTTCTTGAAGTTTAGTCTGGAGGCTTGGGATTCCCTTCCTTGAGGACCAGGGTGCCAACACAAATACCTCTAAGGGCAGATAGGTCCTACACATGAGCCAAGGTGGGTGTGGGAACAATTGCACAGCCATGATGGGCTGGATGGCTAAGACACATGTTATTAGAGATCCGGCTGGTTAGTGCAGGGTGGGGAAGCAAATCCACTGTGCTAAGTCTTCCTGTTTTGTTAGAGAAATCTGAAATTTGTAATTTTATGAAACTGTCAGATATCTAAATGTTGGTTTAATTTTGGTTAACTCATGTTTAAAGTACCACTTCGTGACCTCTGTCTTGAGGCCTTTACTGCACTTCACCAGTGGTTAGTAGGTCAGCAGACCAGAGAAGTGGGGTTGTGGGGCTGGGTAGTCAGACATGAGTTTGAAGAGAAAAAAAAATACTAGAGTGAGGATGAGGGCAGGCACCTAACCCAGATTCACTGCAGAGTGGTCTAGCTGAATGAGCTGGGAGAACCCGGTGCCAGAATAGGAAAGGGCATTCTAGGCCTGAGTGAAACCAGGGCCAAGGAGAAAAGCTTGAAGCCTGGTGGACAGATCAAAAGCACTTCCTGGCTCAGATCTGAGTTGTGGGTTCTTAGCCATGTGATCTAGCTCCAAAGCCTGTTTCTTCAAGTGAAGAAAACCATTATTTACCTTTTTGGATTGTTGTGACAACCAAAATAAACAACATTTAAAAAGCCCCTAAATTGATGCCAATTTTCATAGTAAAGAAAAAATAGGATCATTTCTAATAGCTTCCTGTTGTACATTTAATAACAAAAGCCAAATTCTTTACTATGATACTCAAGGTCATCAGAACTGGCCCCTGCCTACCTCTCCCACTTCATTCCATGAGGCTCTCTCCTGTCACCTCATGTGCTATAGCCTTTCTGTTCCTGGAATTCTCCAAGCCTTTTCTACCTCAGGGCCTTTGCTCTTGCTGCTTGTTTTGCTCAACATTCTCCTCTCCTAGATCTTTGCACAGCCAGCTCCCTCTCTTCTTTTCGTTCCCAACCAAAATATCACCCCTTTAAAGCGTTTTTCTTTGACCACCGAAGTAGATCTCCCACATCTATCACAGCATTCAGTTTGTTTTCATCATACAATACAGAAGTATTTGTTTATTTACGATCTGCCTTCTCCACTAGATTAGCCCCATGTGGGTGGGGACCTGTTTATTCATTGCATTCCCAGCACCTACAGTAGTGCCTGGCATGTAACAGGTATTCAATAAATGTTGTAGAATAAATGGATGGATGGATGAATGATCATTCAGGTAAATTTTATCTCCTTGAATCAGACTGTTGAGGTCCTTTTGGTCCTGAATCTGTTATCCAATATAATACCTCTCAATCTCAGCTTCATGTCATTCATAAATTTGACAAATCTGCTTTATTTCTATATTTTCACTCCAATCATTAATAAATATGTTTAACAGGACAGAGTCTGGAGCATATTGTTGGAAAACTCTCTCCTAGAGACATCAGTCAAGTAATCAGTCTCTTTTTCTACAGTTGCTTAACCAACTATAATCCACTTAAATGTCCTTGAATCAAGCTATATTTCATTCTTTTATTCAGAGAAAAAAAGTGCTTATACTTGCACACTCAAATATTCAAATGTACTGTGCAGATTGAAAAAGAAGTAGCTTAAGAACATTCTGTGTAAAACACAATTAGGGCTTTTACCTCAAATAAAATCAATGTGTAAACAATGGGATGTGACTGTCACAAAAAGATGCAAAGGCTGAATTAACAGAAGTATAGAATCTAGAAAAGTGGAGGTTTAATTAAGTTTATGCTTTTCTCTACACTGGCATCTTTTGTGGATGCCAGACTCAAATATGATGAAATCAGATGAAAATTGTGTGATGACGATGAAGCTATTGAAACTACATTACACGATGGTTGTAGGAGCTACATAGTTAGTGGAGATAAGAGGAGATACATAGAGGACACGGTGATTGCCAGTCTTCTCTAATCATTTTCAGAGTGGCCATGCTTTTCTCTACACTGGCATCTTTTGTGGATGCCAGACTCAAATATGATGAAATCAGATGAAAATTGTGTGATGACGATGAAGCTATTGAAACTACATTACACGATGGTTGTAGGAGCTACATAGTTAGCGGAGATAAGAGGAGATACATAGAGGACACGGTGATTGCCAGTCTTCTCTAATCATTTTCAGAGTGATTAGAGAAGAAGTGATAGTTTTCAAAGAATAGAAGAATCAGTGAGTATAGGGAGAAAGATTTCAACCCTAATTAAGAAAGGAATTATTAAACCAGAGTGTCCAAAGTTGACATGAGGTAGCTGAAGGCATTCCTAAAAATTCATTGAAAGATATTTAGTGTGAATGTCAGGGAGGAGCGACAAACACCAGATATCAGGCTGGCCTAGATGGTCTTCTCTTCCCTAGTCCCCAGTTCAATAATTCTCTGACTCGATCCATTTACATGCACTGGATTTTCTTTCTTCACATTGTGCTGGAAAAGTTTTTGTTTTATTTGCATGATCCTGGAAAAGTTCTCCTTCCCATTTTCTTTTTACTTCCTTCTTTATGGTGCTTAAATCATATTTTTCCCATACCTTTTCTATTTCTTCCTCACTTTCATTGTGAAGCCTTTCCAGTTCCTCAAGATCCAGACCAAATTCCCATTGTTCTAATTTTGCAATATTATCTACTGTTTGGTTTTCTTCCATCATATTCATAACCTGAATTTTAAAATAGGAAAGCATGGTGACAAGTTAAGAATTAAACTTTAAAGACATGGTTTTCTGACCTTCTTAGCAATCAATAAAAAAAAAGATGTTCTGTTTATCTAAATATAACTATATCAAGTAAAGAATTGGGTTGCTTATTGTGATTATTTAAGTTTTAAGGCTTAATCCTTAAAAGCTCATTCATCTATAAACAACAATAAAAATGTAAAATTCTTCACTTCATTGAATGATATTAAGAAATTACTGATATTTAAGTGTGCTAATAATATTGTGGTTATGTGTTTTAAGAGTTCTTATCTTTTAGAGATACATACTTAATAAATTAAAGATGAAATAATATATCTAGGATTTACTTCAAAATAATCATGGGAAGGGATGGTGGACAGGGGTATAGATGAAATAATATTGGCAATTGGGTTTATTAGGTTATTATTCTCTTGCCTTTTATATATGTTTGAATATTTCCATAATAAACATTATCTTTAAAATTTTATAACTTCAAAAAATTCAGAGGCAAAGGACATACAATGCAATGTATGTGACAATCTCCAATATATAAAGAGCCCTACAAATTAACAAAAACAACCCAAGCGATATATAGGAAAAGTAAGGACCTCGGTTTCAAAACGGTGGACTGGGAATGGCCTTTACACCTTTTTCCCTCTGCTCCAATCCATAAAACTAAAAGAAATGTATAATAAATAATAAATCCATTACTTCAATTAAGAAGAAAAAAAGAAAAAGGATATTTCAGTAGTATGGAAACTGTAACATCTGGAAAATGGAAATCAGATGGATCTGAATGATGCGCCAAGTGCCCTCAGGACAATATTTAACAAAAGGTAGAAGCTACATCAGAGTGAGGCAGTAACCTAGAAGTAGTTGGCAGAGTGATTTGCTGGAGGTACTGCATCAAAAATAAGCAGTGGAGGACTTGCATGTACATGTACCCCCACTTGGTAAGACTCCCTGGGGCCCAGCAGTAGTAACAGGGTGTTTGCCTCCAGACGGAGGAAATTGGAATGAATATTTGGGTGGGAGAGGTAGGGCAATGTCCAAGGAATCTGTCAGTGGCTAGAAGGAGTCAGAGGAATTGCTCCTATACACAAGATAAGTGGCCAACAGATTTCCCAACATCACCCAACTCAGTTTCCTTTTACTAGAAACAGATGGGAATACCTGCTGAAGTCAGAGCTCCTACAACTCTTCCCCAGCAGGTCGAACTGGTGTAGTGAAATTATAACAGGGAGTTTCAATTATAAAGATGGTAAAACAACAATAAAAATAATAGACCACCAAGTATTCGGGGAACAACAAAACCATTGAAGAGACACAGTAAATTCAACAACAAAAGACTTGTTATACAAAGAAAAACAGTCAATTAAATGAGAGTAGAATTTTATAATAACTATGGATGCAAAATATTTTACTTCGTCAAAAGAATCAAGAGATTATGAAACTTAAAAGTTTGATCTTGGAAACATGTAAACAAATCCAAAAGATGGACTGAATAGCAGAAAGGACACCGTGGAAGATAATTAGTGATCTATAAGTCAGTTAAGAATTCTCCCTGTGTGTAACAAAGGATAAAGAGGTGGAAAGTGTGAAACAAAAGACATTTGTATGACTTATCTAGAAGCACCTACAACTAACAGGACTTCAGAAGGAGAGAATAAAGAGAACTGGAGCCACAATGTTTAAAGAAATAATAAGGGAGAACTTTTAAAAAACACATTAATGCGTGACTACTCAAGATTTAAAGGGCACAACAAATGTTGCGCAGGCCTAGATCTGGACACAGAAATGTTGTAAAACTTAAGAACCAAACGCTAAACACTTCCAAAGAAAAAGGAGTAGCACAAAGCTAGAATAATCAGACTGATAGAAGACCTCACATCGGCAACACTAGATGTAAGAATACAATGATCAAAGTTTTCAGGGGAAGAAAAACCTTGAATCTCTAATTCTGTGGTCATCAAACCATCATTTGAAAGTGAGATGAAATTAAAGTCATTTACAGACATTCAGAGGCTCAGAAAGTTCACCAATACTCATTTCTCAGGAAGGATTATTAAGGATGGACTACAGCCAGAGGAAGGTAAGTAGATTTATTAAGTCTGAATAAGATTTAGACATTTTTAAGAGTTTTTTGAAAAGAAGCAATTTAGATCTATAATTCCAAATGACATCATTGAGAGAATGTGAGGGATGAAAAAGTCAAAATAACAACAACAAAAGCACATTGGGGTTCCTGTCCTATAGAGGGATGGATATGGTATGATACACACTAAACCAGAGCTTCTTCGACTTTAATGTGCCTATGACTCTCCAAGGGGTCTTGTTAAAGAGCAGAGGCTGATTCAGGACATCTAGGATGGGGTCAAGATCTCAGGTGATGTCGACGCTGCCGTGCTCTGGACCTTTGAGTAGAAGGCTCTCGATGATGTAGAAAAAGAGGAGGTCAAACATGTGGGTTATAATTTAAAAAATAGAAATAGAATTATGACTCTCAAAATAGTAAAGGAAAAATAGAATAATAAAAAATGCATAAGCAATCCAAGAGGATAGAAAAGAGGGGAAAGAAATGAGTTGAAAGTATGTTAAATAGAAAACCAAAAATAAAATGGCAGAAATAAATTTAAACATATCAATAATCATAATAAATGTGGCTACACTCACCTACTAAAAAGCTTAAATAGGATTTACAAAAAACAATCCAGCTGTATTATGATTAAAGAACAAAAAAGATGGAACCAAAAAAAACCAGAAAAAGATACATAAACAAGTGCTAACAAAAAGAGACAAAGATATTTCATAAGTATAAAAGGAATAATCCATTAGGGAGATCTATCCTGCACGTTTTTGCACCTAATATAAATATGATAGAAATAACAAGGATAAATTGACAATTTGCTAATCATATTCTAGAAAACAGTTCACTTGGCAAAAATATAAATATGAATATAGAGAACTTGGCTAACACAATTAGACTGATCTAACGGGAATTTAAAAAGCATTGTACCTTCCTCACACACACAAGAAAAGAAAAGATTCTTTACAAACTCACGTGGAACATTCACAGAAAGTGATCAGATATTAGGCCACAAAGACAACCTCAATAAGCTTTATTTACTGACCACAGTGAAATAAAGTTCAAAATTAGCCACAAAAAGATATACAAGACAATGTATAAATAATGTACAAAATGATCTTGAAATTAAAAACAGAAAATACCTACAGTCTTTTAAGAAACTGGAACCAAGTTTTCAACTACGAAAAGTAACAAAATGAGGACTAATAAATCTGATGCAGTAGGGAAGAATGAATAAAATTCTAAATTGATAAAATCCTAAATTAATTAAATGTTTAGGTATAAAATTATATATAATGTTTTTTATAATAATAGTCAAATCAATAAGAAGAACATATCATATTAATAAAATAGAAATATTGTTGAAAAGTGTGATCAAGAAAAAATTTTACAAAAGGTATAAATATACAACATTAAAAATAAAGACAGCTATGACTGAAAAATTAAGAGACTTAAACATTAAAATATTATATAATTTTATATTACATATTTAAAAATCTAGATGAAATGGATATTTTCTAAGGAAATATAATTCTTCAAATCTATACTTGAAAAAAAAAAAAGAAAACCTTATAAGACTAATGACCATAGAAGAACTTGAAAGTAGGAAAAAAATTATAATTCTTCAAATCTATACTTGAAAAAAAAAAAGAAAACCTTATAAGACTAATGACCATAGAAGAACTTGGAACAATAGGAAAGAACCAACTCCTGTAGCAGATATGATGGTTTTATATGTGTGTGTATGTGTGTTTTGTTTATTTGTTTGTTACTTAACCAAATATTAAAGGAGAATTCCCTTTTTATACAAACTGTATCAGACAATGGGGAAAAAAAGTGGAAAACTACTCATCACTTGATAAGGCTAGTATACCTTCATACCATAATTAGAAAAAGAAAGTATAAGAAAACTAGACCAACATTAGTTATGAATGGAGGTATAAAAATCCTAAATAAAATGTTAGCAAATGGAATCTGGCGTACTACTTAAAATGATCAATGTTTATCTGAGGAATACAAGGCATTTGATCAATTTCACAATAAAATTCGCAATGAAAACTCTAATGTTACAAGGGATAGAAAAGAATTCCTTTAACTTATTAAAGGATATCTAACAAGCATCACGCTTAAAAGTTAGTAGCATTCCTGTTAAGGTTAGGAAGAAGACAAGCATGCCCACTGTCATGACCACTATAATATTAAAAGCCCTTGCCATAAGACAAGAAAAAGAAAGTATAAAGAATGAATCGGATAAGACGTGTTTTTCAGAAGATATGATAGTCTACCTAGACAACCCAAGAGAAATAAAATCAGTAACATTCATACATACCCATAGTAACCAATTAGAAAATGTAATAGAAAAATATTCCATTCACAAAAACAAAACAAACTATAAAATATCCAAAATAAACTTAATAAAATTATACAAAGTCACTTTTAAACTGTAAAATTTCACTAAAGAATATTTTTAAAAAATTGAATGAGATATATTTATTGATATATATTTATATAATACATAGTATATGTGCTTTATATTAAAATGTATATTATATATATAATTTCAGATAGCAAATAAATTCTTCCCCAAATCAAACTATAAGCAATATTTTCTCAATCAAAATTAAATCAGTTTTTCATGGAGCTTGACAAGCCGATTTTAAAATTCAAATGGAAAAATGTGCATAAAAAAGACAACATTTTTTGGAAAAGAAGAGCAAAGGGAGAATTACTTTAAAGATATAAGAATATTTTATAAAGCTATCACAATCAAAATAGTTTGGAATTAGCTCAGGAAAGATCACTACTCAGGAAATTTCAGAATGGGGAGTCCGTAAACAATTCCATACACGTGGGACTATGGGAATTGACAGAAGAGTTGCAAATCAGTGGGGAAAGAATGGTATATTGAATAAAAAGCACTGATGAAATGGGCTATTTATTAAAAAAAATAATAAAGTTAGATCTATACTTCATACCATTCATGAAAATAAATTACAGGTGAAATAAGAAGTATTAGAAGAAAATATCTGAGACTTTAGAAGGCCTTTAAAAATCAGTTGCAAAAACAAAAGCTATACATAAAATGATTGATACACTTAGGTCGTAATTTTTAGATTCTGAATTTAAAAGGCACATTATACACATTGATACAAGACAGAAAATATGTGTAATATATTAGGTCAAACCATATAAAACAGCAATTTTATGTCATTCAATTAAATAATAAGGGCTACCTCTAGCTTTGCCCCATGCACACCTCCATGCTCTTTTACCTTTCCAGTTGCCTGAAATGAGATCAAACAAGGGAATCCTAGAAGCCATGTGCTGAACCTAGGAGAATCTCTGTCAGCCTGGGTCTCTGAATGACTGTATGAAACAGAGTCGCTGCTGACCTGAATACCCGCCAGGACTGTGGTTTGAGAAAGAAATAAACTTCTCATCTCTATGTCATTATGTTTTTGTAGTTATTATCACAGCTTCGTTAACCTTAATTATCATAAATAAATGTAAACTAATAATAAAAATAAAGAACTATAATAATAATTTTAAAAAAGACACAACAACCCAATAGAAAAATAGGCAAAGGATATGAATGGGGAATTCACATAAGAGGAAATACAAATAGTATTTAGAGTTATGAAAGGATTCTCAACTTCATTGGTAATCAGGAAAATAAAAACAAAACAGAGGAAATTACCAAAGAAAAATTTAAGAACACCCGGACTGAAAGACAAAGGTTTCTTACTGAAAATGCTCATTAATGCCTGGCATATGAAAGAGAAAAAAAAACAACCATACAAACTAAGGTCCTGGGATGAAACAGATGACACACTCAAATGGGATAATTGGGAAAAGAGACTTTTAAAGAAGATTTAGCTGGCTAAGGGAAACCAGCAAGGCATGATAAAGCATCTCAGGCTATCACCACTCCTAGGTCTAAAGGGTGGGGAGTGGTTCTTTGCACCTGAAGAAATAGGTAGCTGTTGGACTCATAACACTGCAGAGAGGACCCTGGAGGACTAAAAACCCTGACCCTAGACTTCTCCCGCCTTCTCCTTCCTGTTGATACATACCACTCACTGTCTAAACCCAAACAGAAGCCAGAGGCAAGAGAGCCCAGTGATGCCATCCACAAAGGGCAGCCTCTTGGGGCTCAAAACAGGGTTGAAAATGGTGGGGATCATATCTGTACCAGCAAACCAAGAATATTCATCAAACACATCAAGGTGCATAATTGTAAAATTTCCAAATAGCAGGAATAAAGAAAGGATGCAATAAGTTTCCAGAGAGAAAAATCTGGCTACCTACAAAGGACTGAGAATCAGAAAGGTATTGGAGTCTCTAAAGCACACACTGTGTGCTAGAAAGCTAGAAAACAATGGAGCGAGCCTTCGAAATTCTGAGGGGAAATCATTGTACAACTAGGCAAACTATCAAATGTCTGTGAGAGTAGAATAAAGACATTTTAAGAAAAACCATGTCTTAAAAAATATAGTTCCCATGTACCCATTGTCTCAAGAGCCAAAGCATTGTACAACTCTAGTGGGTAGGCGCCATTCATTTTGTGTTATATTTAAAGGTACACCAGAAGTATGTTCCCAAGCCAGTCCTGCTTAGGAAGCTACTGGAAGAGGAATAACCAAGAAAACAGAAAAATCCATAGGACCCCAAAAACTGGGCCTCCAACTCAGGAGGCAAGTGAAAGGATTTCCCAAGAAGATGGGCAAGGGAAGTCCCTGGGTCAGCAGCTGTGTGCCCCATCTAGAAAGCAAGGTGCTTAGGTTAGACCTGGAAGATAGAAAGCTCTAGAAGAGAGATCACAAAATAAAATAAAATAAAATAATTTAAAACTCTGACAGTTTGATTTCCTCAGGTATTTGTATTGAAAAGTTTTATTCTTTGTATTTTTTTTTTTTTTTTTTTTAGCATTTTCAGAGAGTTTGAATAGGTCATAGGTATCCACAAAGGCTTAATACAAAACAAAGGCAATTATTAATTCCAGGCAAAATAAAGTTGCAAAAATAGAAGTATAATTATAATACACCATGTGGCTCAGCTTCGAAGATTATTTACATAACTATAGTGGTATGCATACTGAGTAGGGATTTACATGTATGTTCTAGTGATGGTTGGGAAGGAGTTGTGTGTACAAGAACCTAAACATTCATCTTCCATACTAGGAAGCCCATAGTTAGTGTTACAACAGAAATAACAAGAGATAGCAGTAATAAAAACTATTTAGAAAATTAGCATCTCATAACCTGGAGTACAGGAATCATAGCAAAAAAAAAAAAAAAAAAGTAGGGAAGATGCTGCTTTAAAATATTTTTTAAAATTATGTAACCCATTAATTTGTAAAAATATAAACATATAACTTTGATTAAAATAATTATTAAGAAAAGTAAGACATAGAATTTGGGGTAGACAGAAAAGAAAACCACTGTTGATACATAGTGTGGTATGGTAAAAAATTCTACCCCTTTGACGTACCCTAGAAAACTGAGCTTATGGGCAGAGAAAAATAATGGGTATAGCTCCTCATGCTGTGTTGAACAAAATAAAGTTCAAAAAGCCATTTTAGACTGAGGGCCAAATGTATTAGTATGTGAATTCACAACACTTACAGTTTTAGCAAGTGCTTTGATTCCTCTTTTAATGTCTCTCCTTTTGTTGGAAAACAGTTTAACTTCCTTTTTGATGGCCTGAAATGGGACAAATATATCACTTAAACAGGCACAAGAAATGATAGAGAGGTATATGATGGATACATGCATGCCTATATACATACATATACGTACATAGGTATATAGATATACAATTGATAGCACTTCTCTAGAAATAAATTTAAAAAATTTTAAAGACTAATGATACAAAGGGTACATGAAATAACACCACGGCAATACCTTGTTTAAGTTAGCTGCTACTACATAAGTGACCACTGAAGCAACCTGGAACTGATGTCAATTATAAGGCCAATGGAAATAAAATAATTAAGTTGTGAAAAATTAAATAGAGAACAGTTGACAAAGGAAAACCAGTCTGTTTTATTGGAAATTTGAGTGAGACCAGATAAGCAGGCTAAATCCAGACATGAGCTACTACACTTGTCACCTTCCTGCACATCTGGAGCCATGATGCCTCTTCTCCTGCTCCTGGACCACCTCTTTCCTTATGTCGACCGTGCAGCATCCCTCTAAATACATTCCATCATGAGGTATCACACTTCATTCTTTGCTTTTGCTTACCTGGACAGCTTTGTTGGGTTTCATATTAGCTTAAGCACAGTTCTTAACGCGGTACGACTTAATCTAAAAGATTGGGCTGTGTTTAGGGTGTGTGTTTGCTTTCACAATGTAATGTGTTGTCAAGTAGTATCTCTTTCTACTTTCTAACTTTCCAACAGGTTGTCATAGGAAAATAGCCTATTTGGCACAACTACAGAGCATTATTTCAAATCTCTCTCATGTTTTATAAATACCTCTTGGCTTTTTTGTTGTATCCAGGGAATTTCCTTTGTATTATCAACTTGGACTAACTCCTCTTGCGATGAGTCAACGTTTAAACTCATAGTCTCATTTACCTTAGAAGAAGACAGACAGTTCTTAAATTTAAACTCATCGAGTTCTCCCACCCTACTTTATATAATTGCTTTGAATCCCCTTGCACCTGTTCCATTTTAAAAAATAATACCAAACATTTTTGCTTGCCCAAGATGTAATGTTTTATTAATTTAATTCCTACCAGTCTGTCCTTACAGCAGCCACACTTTTCAGAGAAAGCAGAAATGATCAGACAGGTCATATGTTCACCAAATCACTCTCTGCCTTCTTTCTGATACTAGAGACCAAATTCTACTGCCTATCAAGGCCTGCCCCACAATTTGTACTTGGGGCAAATCTTCATCTTTTCCTCTTTCTCAAGGTTTTACACTTGAAAGAAAAATTGCATCACCCTTCTGCATCCTCTGTTTCTCCCCACTACCGAATCTTTTTCAAACGTGCTCTGATACCTCCTGTCCTAGGAAAGCCACTCTTCACTGACCACCACATTCTCCTTTCGCTATCACCCCCTTTCTATTCTCTTTGCAGCAAACTGTCTTGGAAGAGTTTGGGACGCCACACTCTCTTGGTTCTCCTGGAACTTCACCAGTGGCCCTTTCTCAGTCTCCTTTGCCTCCCTAAACTATTCTCCTGGATCTCTAGAAGTTGCTCTGTCCTGATCCCCTTCTGTTTCTTGCCATTGACTCTTCCATGACTTCACTTGGTTTTATGGTTTTAAATTCCATCCACATTCCCTAGATTCTCAAGTCAAAATCTCCAGTCCTGGCCTCTCCCCAGAACTCAAGACTCATTTTATCAATGGCCTACTTGGTAGCTCTGCTTAGATACCTAACAAAGGCTTCTCAAAGTTGGCATGGGTAATGGATTTCAGATTCCTTTCTTTCCCCCACAGTGTCTCCCCTCCCACAGTCTTGCCCATGTCTATGAATGATATCATCTCCTACATAATTGTCCCAGTAAAAAATCTAGGAGTGAATCCTTAAGTCCTTCCTTTCCCTCTTCCTTGAATCCATCAGTGAGTTCTATCAACTCTCCCTCTGAAACCTACCTGGAATCTACTACTTCCTCTCCACAACACTCCTCCACCTCCATCGTTGTTACCCGGGCCTCTGCCATAGCCTCCTAACAGATCTCCCTGCTTCCAATCTTGTCCCTCACAGGAGATATTCTCCACACAGTGGCAAGTAATCATTTCAAAAATGTAAATAAGATCTTGTACATCTTCTCCTCAGAGAACTCTTTAACAGGTTCCCATTACATATAAAATTAAATCCAAACTCTCCCTGGTTTGCACAGTCCTTCATTACCTGGCCTTTTCCCACCACGAGGGCCTCATCTCCTACCTCCCTCTCTCTCTTGCTCCCTTCAACTGCACAGGCCTTTTTAGGTCCTCACAGGGCAGCTCTTCCCGCCCTGCCCTGAGTACTCTTGCCCCATGTTGCATTTTGGCACTTCCTTTTAATTCAGATCTCAGCTTAAACGTCTTCTCCTTTTGGATGGAGAGGCTATTCCAGCCAAACACTATCATACCATTTTTATTCCATAAACAGATCTTGTTACTATCTAATCTTTTATTATTCGTTTATTTATCTCTGTCTTTGCTTACCCCAATTAGAATATAAGCTTTATGAAAGTGGAAACTTTTTCTGTCTTTTTCATGCCTATATCTCCCACAGCCTAGCACTTTGTAGGCGCTCATAAATATTTGTTAAATGATTGAATAAATGAATCATTTTAATGGTCTCTCTATACTTCCATGTCACATACTATTTAGGAAGTATCTAGCCAGATACTTATTCAATCAGTATTGAATAGCTCAAATCTTCCTAGCAATCATCGTTTAGCTCAAATCAACTCTTACAAAAATTCCTTACAGGTCTGGACATTTCTTACGTCAATAGAAGGAGAAAGAAAACTATATTTGAACTCAACTGTGTGTTCAGATTCTGATCCCAAACCCAAGGAGTCGCTTCGTGTTATACTTAAATAATTATTCTCCTCCTCCATGGTGTTTTTCAGAGTAGTTAAAAGTTGCTGGCAATATTCAAAAATTTCACTGGCTAAATTTCCTCCAAACCGCCTATATTAATAAAAAAGAAAACACAGCTATAAAATTACAATTTTAAAAAGTCACGTTGTGCAGTATTATTTCCAGATACATAATCATTTCTACACAAAGAATTATGCAGACAGTTCTCTGCAGCGCCCTGTAGTTATCGGGGCTCCGATTCTTAAAACAGGACTTGTTCTATGGGATCCAGAGCACGACAAGCCTCTTGACCTCTCTGGGTGGCCTCTCCTCAAGTTGTCCCCATACCCTCACCCGACGTGTCCTCTGTACCTGCCATGGCCACTGCACAGAAGAGCCACTACTCTGGCAGAGCCCTTAGAATGTGCGAGGTGCTGCTCGGCTTCACATGCAGAACCACGTTATCACATTCTGCCCTCAGCGTCCCATCGTAACTCCCTGCCCCGCCCCTGCCCCCGGAGAGAAGTTTCACTTCCACTCAATCAATACACCAGGGCATCTCAAACTTTGGGAACCTCAGCATCACCCGGAGGTTTTGTTAAAACAAATTCCTGGGCCCCACTCACTGAGATTTTGATTCAGGAAATCTGGGCGAGGCTCAAGAATATGCATTTCTAACCAGCGAGCGAGCGTGCGTGCAGGTGCTGCAGACCCTACCTTGAATAACACTGATATAGCTGATTTGGAGGTGTTGTCATGTGCCTGAAGTTATGGACTAATAGGATTGAGGTTTCAAGCTCAACTTTGTTTTGAGTCAGTAGTCCACATGGTTAACCCAGGGATGGGTGGGGATGTCTTTACTTCCATAGTTAGGGCTCTAGCACTAGTTTGCTGTTACTTGAGATGCTATTTGTTCACTGACTATAAAGAATATGTTAGGATTTATATATGAGATACAAGCTAATATTTTTTAAGATTCTATGTATAAAATGGCATGATGATTGCAGTCTTCAAATGAGTCTTTGAAATAAGTGGCTATCAAAGTTGTTACAATATAAAACCTCTACAATATTCAACATTTTCAAATGTTACTGAGAAAGGCCATGTTTTATTATTGTTTCAATCACAGGAGGCACTGTGAGATATTATTTTTGTGGAAATGAATTGTACATTGACTAGTGATGTCCACTGGCAGTTTAAACAAGGCAATATTTAAAGTCCAGGCTGTCACCTTCATGCTCTCTATCCTCTGGTCATCCTTCATCTGTATGCTTTGGTAGTATTTGTTTATTTAGAAATTTAATTTTAGTGTAAAAGTCTAAATCAATTAATATTGTCTGAGCAAAGTCTAATTAGGAAAGTAAGTCTGCATGTGTATACACATACATATAGATCTAGGTCAGGATTTTTAAGAATAAACAAGAGTTTTTAAAGTTATCTACTATTCAAATAGTCCTCATTTTTTGTGCTCCTTCAATAGGTGTTTTGAAAGAGAGGACAGATCATCTCATAGGTAATAACCATGCCTTTTTATTGTTTATATTTTGAAGCTTTGACATCTGGGGCCATGCTGATCCTGGAGGGGCTGCCCCTTCCAGGGCTAGCCAATTTCTCAAGGTAGTAAACAGCTAGCTCAGGAGCCCAACTTCAAATGTAAACCAACCAATCCAGAGTCTGCACTCCGACCATCTCCTCCACTGGGCTTCCATACTCAGGGCCACTGCTTTCCTGTGCTAATCACCTCTGGGGCCAAGTGCCAGACAACCAAGGGCAGTCCCTATGCCTAGGAACCGCGGATATTTTTCCAAACTAGCCAGTCCTAAATCTGCCTGCTCCTTCCCATGGAAACCGTAAGAAAGGCTCTTACTCACAGTTTCTCTGCGTCCTCTGCCTCCTTACAACTCTGGTGCTTCCCCACATGGCCCCCCAAGAGCATGACATACCCCTTCCTCTTGGGACCTGTGACTATAACAATCTTTTCAATGGCAGTTGTCTCTTGTTATGTTGGCCTTGCTGTACCTAAGTAATAACAAAATCTTTATTCTAAAACACCATACCATGGGAGGTTGCTTACTATATACTACACGTACCTCCATCTTAAGTAAACGAGGGTGCCGTCCTCTCTCCCATTCACTAGAATGCTTTGTCCATCCATTGAAATTCTCACTGATTGAATTCCATGCCCTTGGTGAGAATGACTCCGACAGCGGGCAAATGTTTCCTCAATAGTTTTAGGAACAAAGCGCAAAAATTACAAATGCAATTCTACCGCATGGTTTTTTAAGGGGGTTACATGTACTTCGCTTGTAGATAAATCTCTTTTTATTTGTTAACAGCATTTTAGTTGGTATGGAAGTAGTCTCTGGGTAATACATAGCGCTGAAAATCTCTAGTTCATAACACATTCACCAATACTGATTCATTCTCCCATTTGTGTGGTATGAAAAGGAGAGGAATTATCACCACCAATTTATAAAAGGAAAATCAGACGCAGAGAAGCAAATGGACTCGCTGAAGGCTACCAAGTTAAGCGAGAGGCCTTGAGCAAGCAGAGAGGGCAAATTCAGACACCTGCAAGAATCAGGCCGGTTCCATTTATGTGTGAAGAGGCTGAGTGTGATGAGAGAGGGTGATGGGCTCTGCAAGAAATGAAAAATAACATGTCCCACATGGAGGATGCTAATAAAACCAGTTTAGTTAGAACCCAAGCATCACTAATTTGGTACACAGAGCAAGTCTAAGCCCTTTAACTAAAAACTGGGATTTCTGTGTCACACTGGTTCTCAGCCTTTGATGCCTTTAAAAAATTTTTAAACTTTTGAGTACGTAATACATTCAAATAGTTTGAAGTTCAAAAACCATACAAGTGTATGCAGTGAAATCTCCTTTCTGTCATCATTCCCCAACTACCTCCAATGACAATATCTTCAATAATCTTTCAGAGGTTTTTTATGCATATAAACAAATTTTTATGCAAACAAGTTTTAACATAAATTATACCATAATACATATATTATCTTGATTTCTCCCTTAACACTATATCTTGGGGTTCTTTCTATATTGTTCCATAAGATTTCCTCATTCTGTTTTACAGCTGCATAACATTCCATAATTTACTTATGTACTGTTTAGTTACCATTATTTACTTATCCTCTATTGATGGATGTTAGGTTGCTTTACAAGCAGTGCTGCCATGGATAACCTCAGATGTGAGGTTCTTTGCATAGAATCACCCAAAAAAACTTTGATGTCTTGCCATATCATACCATTGTCAGTTTTAACGTACATTACAAATCATTTGAATGAGACAGTATAAGAGTTTGCAAATTGTTCACTTAAAAATAATCTCTAAGTGATCTAAGATTTTTTCTGTTTAATAATATATAATATTTTACCTAACTCTGTTCCAAATATACTTTCTTGCACAGGTGAGCAAGGAGAGCTGGATGGGCACAACCAAGGTCTAGTTGATCTGTGGAACCAGGGGAGTGTGTAATGTGGGTGACTGTGATGCTTCAGGTGTATGGGGTAGAAGCCTGGGTAAGAATCACCGACCATATTAAATTGTACTGATGACCAATACAATTCGGTTCCAGCATCACATGAAGAGTCAGGTGGGGGCGTCAGCAACCAGCTCAGAGGCCCTTCAGGCCAGGGAGATACTAGGTTTGTACAGTAATTCACTATTTCCAAGGCAGTTTTGCATACACCTTATTATTGACTCTCACTAGAATCCCACAGGGTTGGTGCAAGCCAAGCTTCCCTAATATTACAGAAGAGCACCTGAAGCTCAGCAAGTTTCCAAGACAAGCAGCTAGGTGGTGATGGAGCTCGGCTGGAGCTCAGCTACGTAGCCCTGCTCGATGCTCTTTCTTCACAGACCTCAGTCCCCGCTTGGTGTTTTCTCTTTCAGAGGCTGAAACCTCAGCACATGCAAACATCTAATGTTAAAGTCAATACTACCATCAGTGGTAAATAAGTTATGAGTCAATTTACCTAGGAAAGAGTTCTGATTCCTTTCCTAAGGGCTTTTGTTCCTTATATGAGATCAAGATATATATTCCATGGTTTAAAAAAAAAAAAAAAAAGAGTTTACCAAAGTATGAATGTCTCGGATACACAGAATTCCACATTGAGCTCTTGATATGAGCCACAATCCATGCGGAGACAGAGAGAGCACTCCAGGTCCATAATGTTTGCTTTGTATTTTTTGGTATGGCTTAAGAACGCAAATACCGTTATGTGCCTGCCAATCAAAGAAAATGACCGCTTTATAGAAAAGATCAGGGGACCAGCACCTTAGGGTTTGTAATTGTGCATATACAGTTGGACTGAAACTCACAAACTGTCATGGAAAATAAGCTGACACATGATAAAGTGGGCACCTGTCCTTTCGTATTTTTCATCTTTGCAGATAAAAGTTTGTTTCGATCAATTAAGAAATCCTTTTTTTATATGTTAGCTACTGTTAAAGATCTCAGACTATATCGACAATCTTTATTTTTCACTAATCATTTTCATATATCCCCATGCTCATGTCAAAATAAATTACTTGATATGCCCCCTTTGTGTTTCATGCATTCCTACCTCCGAGCCTCTGCACATGCTGTGACTTTTGTCTGGAATGCCCTTCTGCACCCCATCCCCACCAATCCTGCCTTCTCACTACCTCAGCAACCCCACCCCACTGCTAAGGTTGTCCACGACAATTTTCTATGTCTAAATCTAACCTATTCTTTAAAGTCTAGTTCAAATATTACTTCCTCCATGAAGCTTTTGTGGAAACTTCCCTGCTATCAGTAATTTCTTCCTTCTCTTAATTTGTCTCATATCTTGCTGACACTGGCTACTCTGGGACATAAGGGCTTTGATTGAAGGGTTTAAGGAGGAAGGATGGGAGATAATCTGGGTCAGTGTGTGTAGCAGGAGGGGATGCAATATGGGAGAAGTTTGAAGAGAGTATGATGAAAGGATGAGGGAAACATAGCCCTATTGCTTAGGGCTCAGGTGCAAAGTTCTACCCCAAATCCTGACACCTGTCAAATAAATTTCCTAATGCTAGATTGTCTTTTCACAGCATTAAACCACTATTGTGTCATCTGCATGTTCATCTGACAAGTATGATATATGTAGCACAAGTGTGAGGTTGCTCAAACATATTTTATGATGGATTAACAAATCATGCTAATATACATCTAATTCAAGGAAATTATGTTATTATGATAAAGCCATTTGTTAACTAGATTAGAATATTAAAATATAGATCACATCTAATTAATACAATGTGTCAATCTTACTTGCTAAGATAAATGATAGCACGCTTAAATTTTGGCATACTTTTTCAGGAAGAAGATAGATGCAGATGTATGACACTTCATTACAGAAGCCATATATTCGGTTACTTTCAAAGTCCAACACTGCAGAAGACAAAGCATGCTCTATCTCGTAGAGGAACTTATGAATGAGTTCCTCTCTCATCTTCCCTCTTTCATTAGTGAAGGCTGTAAAAACTATAAGATTTGAGGAAGAAGAAAGATCACTTGCACCATATAATGATTTTATTTTTTTCAAACATTATGAACAACTATGAAAAGCAAAATAAAAAATTTAAATGCCCAATTAATAATGCAGAATCTATTAGGTGATAAAAATGATTTAAAAACAACTTGGCTCCATTAGAATACTTGAGTATTAAATGACTGATAGTGAGTAAAATATCTCGTATAAGGCCTTGGTTAGTTTCATCAGTTAAGTAGAGGCATATCATTAAATGAAATTCATGATGTTCTTTAATTAAAACAAGGTTAATTAAAATATAAAAGTACTTTGAGGTCTTTGGCTCTTTTATACTTATAATTATAATTATAATTATAATTATATATTTGCAAAATAGTTACCCAGATATTTGTTATCTAAAACAGAGTATGTATTTTATCAGACCCCTTTATTCAGAAAGCTCTCTTTATAATTTTATCAGTGAAAGTAACTACACAGTAACCTATCTGAACTTGACTATGTATATTTAAAACTAGGAAAATGAGGCATCACAAAATGACAAAAGTACCAGTCGATCTTGTTTCTTTTCTCTGGTAATATGACAGATTCATAAGATTCACAAGGCTTAGAAAAAAGCCACATTTCATATTATTTAGCCACATTAGTTTCACTTAGTAAGACGCACAAAAGGTGGCCATTTTACAGCTTCACATATTAAGAGGGGGAAAAAATGCTATCACTAGAAACAAACAAACAAACAAAAAAACAACCCCCCCGCCAAAACTATAGCAACTACTTATCTGGGCCCAGGACAGAGTTGGTTGCTTATCTTTTCTTTACCTTGCGGTAGTATTTTAGGCAGAGTAAATATTTCCAGCCTGCTTCTTCCTGTTTCTGGAAGTGGGGAAAGCACCATCACTTCCACTATGTCTGTTTCCAAAAGAGACACTGTGGATATTTGTAAAATGTCTTTGCCCACCTCTGAAAGCAAATGAAAATCAATACCACAAGTGATCATTGATAAGTTTAAATCTTATCTTCCCAAGTAAGATTGTCTTCACTCAATCTTTAGATCTAAATGTATTTACTGGATATTTAAAATGACTTTTAAATATAAGTGACAGGATAAACGATGGAAGATTCTCCCAATTAGATGTCTGGACTGGCCAATTCAACCCAGCTCAGATGAGCTCAGTTTCTTTCCCAGCCAGGAAGGACTCCGAGTCTGCCATATCCACCCCACTCAGCAGCAGCTGCATGCTCTGGCCCCTCAAATGTCTGCTCTTGCTGGTTTGCCTACTCCCAACATGGGATAAACTCAGGTGTCACTGTTCTTTGCATATGTAGTTGAGGCATTGCTGGTGTGGTAGAAATACACGAGACTTGAGTTCGTCCTCTAGAAACCTAGGCAATGTGCCTTGTGTGAAGAGTCATGACTGGGGCCCACTGCGGGTTCTCTCCAGATTCACTACTCCCACTCTCCATGGGGGCTGTTCTGAGTGTGTCCACTTTCTCAGGCCTCCTGATATCAGCTCCTTTCCTCAGGTGTTTGGTGGCTGACCTTTCTTCTTACTTAGCGAGGAAGATTGAGAACGTTTGACACAAACTTGACCCCAGCTTTCTCATTCCAAATCTCACATTTTTTTCTGTTTGTTCTCAACTTCTCCCTTCATTTCCTGACATTTCTGGAAGAACAAAATGTAACCCTTTCCATCTGTGATTTTGAGCCCATGCCTTTCCATCTGTGATTTTTGAGCCCAATGTCCAATTAGAACATGTGCTATCAATTATCTTTTTATTTTCTTGTGTCTTTTATGGTTTCTTCTATTCAGCCCTCAAGACTTCCTGTTTTCCAATTAGGACCGTCCTTCGAACCTGCTTCCCCACCACAGTGACCATCTAATTCTCTTTACTGCAGACTCAAAACAAGAATTACCACTTATCGACTTCGTTTTCTGACAGGCACTTCCTTCCTAACCTCTGTCTCTCCACTCTAGAGTAACTTTTGTAACCGTGTACATCTTCACCTGTTTGAAATGACTTTTTCTCTTTCTCCTTCATTCAAACTGGACTTGGGCTCACTTGCTTCTTTTCCTTCCTTATTCTTCTGCCTACCTGCATGACCACTCCCTTAATCATTAAGCCCTTAGGTCAGCATCAAACAGTCTTAAGGAAAAGCCACAGACTTGTTGACCACAGAAACAGAGTTTCAGTAAACTAAAGATAACGTCAGCAGCTCCACACCCATAAAGGTAGATGACCTTACCAGCATCCCCTTGAAACCAGACAGAACAATGCCATGATTGACATCAGGACCTGATGCGATGATCAACTGCTTGTTACCCTAGCTCCGACCAATCGGGAGAGCCCGTGACCCCAACTCTCTCAGCCACTAATGCGTTTTTCCCTATATAACCTATTCCCTAGAGGCCTTTGGGAGCCAGGTCTTTGAGTGCTAGCTCACCAGTGTCTTGGGGCTTGGCACCATTTCCTTAAATAAACTTCTACTTTCTTTGCTACAAACTCCTGTCCGTGTCTCTTTCGTCTTTTGATGTGTTTAGGCCAGACGAACTCCTTGAGTTCGCTAACGCTCTCCCAGCGGTTACCCCTGATTGGCAAATTTACAAGAGCCTCCTCCCAGCCCTCATTTCACTCACACTGGCACAGTCTACACCCTCAACCAGCCTCCTCCTTCAAGCTCTTTCCAGAGTAGGTGTCTCCCAGTTCTCCCATTACTCTGACCTGTCCTCAGTTTTCTTCACTATCTCATCTCCCTCAGTTCACAGCTTCAAAGGAAATAGTTTTCCCCATCCCACACTCTGACTGACTGGATATGTTAAAAAATGGTCAGCTATATGTCCTACCACACTCCATGTCATCTAATTTATGTTATTTAAGTTACCTGCTTGGCCTCATTAAGCAGTTGGGTTTGTTTCTACTCTGTCTTCTTAAGCCATTTCATCAGCGTCCACGATTTCAAGATCAGAATTCTATCATTAAGGTGTGAACAACTCTCCATCTCCAAACTTATGCTAAAGATCCCCAAATGAAGAGCTTATTGGCTTCAAATCTACAAAGCTTGCCACCCTATTCCTTAACCTCCATAACTTTCTTTTTTCTTGAGCTTTTACTTCAATTGATGACATCACAAACTTCCACCACCTGGACCAGAAATTTTGGAGTCTTTGCTAATCCTTCCCTTACACTTATAATCAAATACCAAACTCTACCAGTTCCATCAGTGATAACTCTTCCCTCTTTTGTCATGGGTGTGTACATTGTGGATAAGAGCATGGACCCTGAAGGCAGACTTCCCAGGTTTGAGTCCTGGCTCCATCACTACCTAGAAGCATGACTTTGAACAGTACTTAACCTCACTCTTCCTCAACTGCCTCATCTGTAAATTAGGATAATAACCATCCCTACCTTATAAAAGTCGTCTGTAATAATTAAGTGAATTAACACATGTCAAGTACTGAGACCACTGGCTATCACATGGTAAGGAATCCCTCAATAAATGTTGGCTATTGCCATGATTAATATCAGCTCTTGCCTGGGCTGCTAGAACGATTGCCTAACTCATCTTTTTTATTCTATTCTCTTGCCTTTCTGTTCCATCCTTCTCTTACTTGTACCAGAGTCGTCCTCTAAAAACCAGGTCAAATCACACTAGTCCTATCTTGAAAAACTTTGATATTTCATTAATCACAGAAAAAAGTCCAGACTACTCGGAAAGATACCCCAAACCCTTAGTCTCCTTTCAGACTCCATCTCCATAATCATCATCTAGTAAACTCTTCTATTTACCTATAACACCAGTCTCCTTACCATTCTAAGTGCCTTTGCTCAGACTTCTATCTAGAGATGAAATACTAATATGCCCCTTTCTCCACTCCTTTAAACCCTCAGGAAACTCTCCCCTGATCCTCTGCACCCTCCTTTCCTCAGACCTGGCAGAATTAATTGCTTCTTCCTCTGAACCTACACAGCACTCCGTTTATTCCCCCTCCACTAAATTGTTTCCTTGAACTTTCCACGCCCCACAGGGCCTAGGTTCAGTATTATATACCAAGTAGGCGCTCAATAATTTCTAAAAAAAAAATCAATAAATGGATTTTAAAAATATATTTAGGTGGAAAATATACATATGCATTTGGTACTTAAAGCCAGAGAGAAATGTATTAATTCTGACTATTGATCACATAGTGCCATCTTGCCTACTACATCTGTGGTTTACCTGGGCATTTGGATGAACATTACTGAAAACGCTGGATATCACTTTGCTTAAAGAGGAAATATTAAAGTTGATTCACGTAATAAAACTTTCTTTAGGTACCTTTATTAAACAGAGATCAAATATTATTTTAAAAGATATTTCAGGGATAAACAACTCAATTTCCTTTTGTAATAACATTAGAAATATCTGGCCATTTTATTAATTCATTGATTGATTCAAGAAAACTTATTTAACATCAACTTTGTACCAAGCAAATGTGCCCCAAACCTCTAAATATGAGGGGAGAATTCTCCTAAGTAACTTTTAATGGTTATCTAAATGTTTCTCTTTTAGGAAATATGCCACAAATAATTGTCTCACTATAGCCCCACTTTCACAACCTTAAATTCTCTGGAATAAAGTGACAGATATTTTAAATTAATACTCATTTTATGTAGTACCTACGAATCCAAGAATCTGAAATAAGCTTGACGGATTGGCATTGATAACAAAGAGGTAGCCTTTTGACGTTCCAACTAATAGGTACATTCCTCGTTGGTCATAACTAGAAAAAAAGAAATCTGATTTTACCCATTTCACTAAAAAGATCTTAAACAAATTCATTGACCGACAGCACAGAGATACATTCAAAACCAGTCAATCTGTGATTTTTACTATTACCCGACCTTATAAAAGCCAAGTGATTACATGTAAATATACTCAATACATTCTAAGCTAATGCTATTTCCAATTGCAACTTGTAAATACACAGTCAAAAAGAGTCACTAAGATGAAGAACTATTTCATCATAAGTGAATGGAATGTGACAACAGAGCTTTCTTGATATTTCAAGTGGAAAAAAGCAATCCTCAAATTAGCGATGAGGGCGACGTTTCAGTATCCTTCAGGACCAGTATCTGGCAGGAGGAAGAATGAAATGTTTCTACACCTTGATCAAATTAGAAAAAGTGGGAAGATGAAAATTAGAGTGAAAGAGGAGAATCTAAGAAAAAAGAGGTACCCCAAAAATATGGTACAGAGGAGCAGGGTGTAAATGGAGGGAGGTTATAGTTCCTTAGGGAGCAGAGCTTGCAGGAATAGCAGAGATGGCGGAAAACCAGCTTCTCCAGGCACAGGCTAATCATGGGTCAACACTTCTCTTAACCTCTCTAGACCTGAATTTCCTCATTTGTGGAGTAGGGACAAGAACAATATCTTTCCTACTGGTGGAGTGAAAATTACACTCAATAAGCTACAATGTGTGATGGCACCATGAAGCAGGGCACAAATGTCAGTTCTTACTAATGTTTACTGTTATTATAAATTAACAAAAGAAAGAATAGCACATGAATCCAAATCCAATATCTCTATGCTATCTTCTTAAATATATTGCTTCGAAAGATTTGAAATCATTTATGCCCATTAACATACTGTCTTTTAAAAAATAATAGTATATTCATATAATGGAACAGTGTGTAGCAGTAAAAAAGAATTAGAAAAGTCTTTATTTATGGATAGAAAACATTCTCCAAGATATACCGTTACGTGAAAAAAAAAATGAGGTGCAGAACATCGTATGTACTCTGGAGCCCAACTACCTGGGTTCAAATCCAGACATTTGCCATTTACACCTGAGTAACACTAGTCTCCTGAGTAGTAATCACACACATTATTTAAAATCTTTATGTCTCACCTCCCTCATCTGTAAAATGGAGACAATACAAGTATCTATCTCATAAAGTTAATATAATAGAAGTGACTGGCACACTCTAAGTGCTTGATAATTATTTGTATAAATAAAAGGAAGTACTTATCTTTTTGCTTGTTTATGGATAAAGTATCTCTGGGAAGAACACATGAGAAATTGGTAACTCCGGGGAGGAGAACTGGGTGTTTGGGGACAAAGAGGGGAACTTTTTACTACACATCCCTCTGTAAATTCGGAACAACGAACCAAGTCAATGTTAATGTTGAAAACAAAACATGTAACACTTAAAATTTAAAGGAATAATGGCTTCACTGTCTTGGTAGACAGGTCTGACAAAGCTGCTGTTGGAAGCAGGCAGTACTTACAGGAGGTGCTGGACGGAGGACTCAGAGAGAAAGGCCTTGTGAACTGCCTGAGGGGATGTGGCATCCCGGATGTCAATGAAGTGGACAGAGCCACCCACAGTCCCCACTGCTGCAGAGAGGGAGGAGGGAGAGCAAGCCATAACCGTAGCCTGTTTAAAATAAACCACCAGATGCTTAATTTAACTTCCCTGTTCCGAGAAACAAAGCCTGCTCTTCTACACGTCAGAATTCTACAGTTTATTTGAAAAGCCTGCAGAATGAGAAGTGTTGTGCAGCATGACAAATCATACACTCAAGATTCCCGAGCTACTCAATTGCATAAGAAGTCACAGGCATTTGTATATCTTATTCTTTACTCCTAAAATTAGAATGATAAAAATATAAGGAAATTTCTTGAATTTTAAACCATGGCTTCATTTTTATCTGTAAATGATTATAAAATCATTATGTCAATCATAATGAAAAATAAAATAAAAAATTTAAAATACATTCCTAGCATCTTTTGGACATCTTTATAAAATGTTAGCCACTTTTAAAAACCATCATTCATCTGCTGGATGATGGTCGATGCTGGGATGCTGGTATGACCGAGGAAGACTTCAGAAAATTACCATTATAACTGGACTGTGTTATGTATTCAGTTACCAAAGAATGCATCACAGATTCTTGCTTATCTCACAATCATTTAGAGAATATGATGTCTTAGAGAATAACTTCATTCCTCTATAAATTATACTTCGTTAGTTGTTTTGAATAAAATCATAGAATGTTAGAAATAGAAAATATCTTAGAAAAAAATCATTTCGCAGAATAGAAAATGGAGGCCAAGAAAAGAGCAATAATGTGCAGCCAGGATCCCAAAGCTGATAACGAAGCTCACATGAGAACTCAGGTGTCCTGCCACATTAGAATGCACAGTTTCCCGATTGAGCACATTTTAATTTTATTTTTAAAAGTGAATTTTCCAAGACTTAACCCAGTTGAGTCTTTAGTGGTATCTCAGTGCAAAACTGGAAACAAAATAATGAAGTTTTTAAATTTATTTTTATTTATTTTATTTTTTACTGAAAGACTTTACGGGAGTCTCTCTGTGTGTGTGTGTGTGTGTGTGTGTGTGTGTGTTTCTCAAAATAATCAGTTGAAATTATCTTCCATTCCAGGGCAATAGTGGGCTAGGCTAAAAATATACAGCAATATCTGGAGTGGTCTTATGTACCCTCGCAGGTACCATCAACAGAAGCTACTAGTAATGTTCAGGAAACCAGCCATTATGGTGCTGGGCCGGGTTCTCTGAGGAGCACAGATTAAAAATGTTCATGGGGAACACAGTTCCGGGCACAGGCAGAGAGACCTGGCCTCGGCACAGTTGGGTTGGTCTACCTATCACTCCCCACAGGACAGCGATATCCTCTGGGGAGGAAAAGCCACCTACTTTCCCCAGAGCAAGCTGAACTGCACGAGTGAGTGTACCATGCCTGGTTTGCAGCTCAATGAAAGTCTGTCGAATGAACTGTGAAAATTGTTGGAATGTCTCCCCGCTGGTCAGGTGAAGGGAAGTTATCTGGAGCAGAAAGCGGGCCTTCTGACTGTGTCTATTTCCTTCATTAGCCAAAAAGAACAAGGTAAATTCTAATTATACCAGCTCTTGAGTGGGTTGTTAAACATTTATATCTCTCTCTTCTGTAAAAGGAGATGTGATCAGATGAACTTTAAGATCTCTTCTAGTTCTAGTAATTTTAATAGAAATAAATTCATATAGCCTTAGTCACATATAGTCTACTCATATTTCACAGTCTTTCGGGTAAGAATTTTTATCTTAACCTTTTGGGATATGTTTTATTTATCCCACTGAATTATGTATCTTTTGCATTTTGTAATCTTCTTATGTGCGGCATGATGCTTCATCTTGTTTTATCATTGAGATTTTAAATTTATTTTAAAAAAGGGTTATAACTTCCCTATGTACTACCCAAATCCCTATCTCATCTAGAACTGTGTAATACAGCAAATGCTGATTATTTAAGAAAAAAAAAATAGCATTACCACTGTTTCTTGTCCTTCTATTTTTAAAAATATTCTTCTATGTGAAATGCACTGTGAACATGGCAGAAATAACAGTTATCATCTTATGGCGGGTGTTGTGAGAAATTGTGGTTTACCACCCAGCATTCATATACCCATCCTTCTTCTAGAAAATTTCTTGAATATCCATTGAGAAATCACCTCTCTCCTACGTTCAGGATGGAGTGGAATAGATCTGACTCCCATGTCTAGGGCTGAACTTACGGCAAATTAACACTTCTCATCCCCCTGTCCACAGTGATTAGTTCAGGGATGTAATTAAGACATTAGAAGATATTTACTAAGCTTCTAAATAGGAGAAACTTCTTTTCTCTTCCTCCTCCGACTGCAAGAGACTTTCTTTCTTGATGGTTTGATATGAGGTTGGCACCTGTGGCATCTGGATAACACTAAATGAAGCCTAAAATGAAACTAAAGGCATAGTATACAGACAGATAAACAAGATCCTTGGTAATCATTTGAGTTGCTGGATCAAGCCACACTTGAGGCCTAACAAGTTTTATACTTTATAGTTTATTAAACCCATAATTCACACTTTTTAATTTTTTTGTCTTAAGCTGGTTAAAATGGCATTTTTCCTTCATTTCTAACTGATCCGCTTGAGGTCAGATGGGGCCATTTAACTAGCTATGGCCAAGGGATGGTTCATTTCTGAGTAGAAGCACTTAATTGCTAATTCAAGACCCCCTAGCACCCCCTTCCCATACCATGGCACTGAGGAGCAATTAGTTGGTGGGGCTTCCACCAGCCTGGCTCTCTGAGAGACTGTCTGGAGTAGAGCGCTACCGATCCACAATGAACTTATAGCATGAATGAGAGATACACCACTAGGATTTCAGAAATAACTACCAACACAGAAAACCTGCCCTTTCTTATACACCAGTATAATACCTTATGTTGCACTCTTTGGGCTGTGGAATAAATTTTATACACAGGAATTACTCTAAATATATAAGGTAAAAATGCAACAGGACATCTGGTAACAAGTACTGCCACAGACTATTCACATGTGAATATGAAAAAGTAGATTAGAAATCAATATATATTTTTAAAAATCCATTTATAAGGCACACTTACTAGGGTATTTAGATAAATCCTGCTGACACAAGCACCATCCTCTAGACACCAAACACAAATTTCCCCTGAATGTGTGAGTGTCTGTAAAAGAAAAGAAAAAATATAACTCTAAATGGAAAACAAGACTCTGTTACAGAGGCATGTTCTAAATACCTTTTCAATATGTCAATCACTCTGATAATTTAGTATAAAATTTCATTTTATTTATGTGGATTATAATTTCACAATCTCAACATCAATACTTCTGATTTGAACAAATATTAACTATTGTCTTTAATACAATTTAAGTAACATAATAACTAATTAGGATTTAAAAAGTGAGAGAATTTTTCTGTGTAATATAATTGAGATAAAAGTCACTTGGAAATTCAATGGGATTATTGTCTACTGAATGAACCTAAAAATAGAATATTATACATTGTTCTTTTAATTAATAGACTTTGTTTTTTAAAACAGTTTTAGGATTATAGAAAATTTGAGCAGAAAGTAAGTTACCTTCCCCCTCCACATACATAGAATTTCCCTATTACTGACATTTTGAATTAGCCTGGCACATTTGTTACAACTGATGGGCCAATATTGATACATTATTGTTGACTAAAGCCCATATTTTACATTATAGTTCACACTTTGTATTATAAATGTATCATGACATTATTTACCATCACGGTATCATACAAAATAGTTTCACTGTCCTGAAAATCTCTGTTCCACCTCTTCATCTCTCCCTAACCTCCTCTCCTTACCAAACTCCTGGCAACCACTGATCTTTTTACTGTCTCCACAGTTTTGCCTTTTCCAGAATGTAATATAGAGGGAATCACATGGCCTTCTCTCATTGCCTTCTTTCACTTAGCACAATACATTTAAGGTTCCTCTATGTCTTTTCATGGCTTAATAGCTCATTTCTTTCTCGTGTTGAATAATATCTATTGCATGGATGAACTATGGTTCGTTTATCCATTCTCCTAATGAAGGACATGTTGGTTGCTTCCTCTGGTGTCCTTGTTTTTTTCCTCCCCTGTTGTCTTTGGATTTTCCATGAGACATCTTAAATTTGGTCTGAGATGTGCAGATTTTTCAGTTGTAATGCCCCTGGATTATAAAATTAATATAATTATTGTGTAGGCAGTTCAACAAATACTTATTAAATGCCTACTGTGAGCAAGGCACTGTGTAGACACAGGTAATGGAATACTAGAGATCAATTCAGGCCCTGACCTTGAGGAACTTAAAATCTAGATGCTTAATTGGTTTGTTTATTGGCTCATTAATAATTCATGGATCCAGTGGTGGTTTCTACATCTGGGCATCCACTCCACAAGCTGTGATTCTCTGCAACTGTCTGTCTATCTCTATAATTTTGGGGGTAGTGGTTTTTCCTTGTGACCTTAATTCTCTGATGGATCTAAGAAGAATTGTTGCTTTTAAATTTGTTTGGTTTTTTTCTTGTTGTAAGTCTTCTCACACGCTGGACTGGAAACCTGAAGTTCATGATGTTCATTTTTACAAATAATTTTTACTGTTTCACAGGATCAAGACTGAAAGCAGCTTAAAGTAACTGCAGCATGGTACAATTTAAATTCTGCTTTTTTGAGTACAAAAAAAAAAAACAAAACAAAAATGGAGTGGGTAACATGAAAATGTGTATCAGGTATCTAAATCCTAAACATGAAAATACTGTATGGAATTTTTAATTGAGCTAAAACAACTATAAGAATAGACATAATTTTTATCAGAGAGCATCTGGAAGAAAAATCACATAGTCAGAATCTCAAGATTGGAAGAAACCTCAAGTGTTACTTATTCCATCGTCTTATGTATTTTTTTATTTGCTAGAACTCCTTAATGGGTTTGTTGATAAATCATATGAAAAGCAAAACATGTTTCTTGAGATAAACAGTTAAATACCCGGGAAAAAAAGTTTCTTTTCTAAATGTGGAGGGTGGGTTTTTTTTTCTAAGCAGAATTCATGTTTTGTGCATGGCAGCTATTTCATTTCCATCCTCGGATGGGGCTACATCACTCTGAAAGAGGGTAAATGCTAATAGTCTGTGAGTCGATGACTCATTAGCAATGAATGTGTTTAAAGGTCTGGCTTGGGAAGTTTGTACAGTGAATACAAACAGGATAGCTCCTAAAATTTCAATTGTTTGGCCATTTGCAGACACTTAATATTATGGAGTCCCAGTACGATGATGTCATTCTAACTGGGGAGTAGATTTGAGGATGAAAATGGTTAGCATTTCTACCACATCTTCAAGAATACCCTCTGTCTCCTATTTGCATCAGGTTGCACATGAACTTCCAAAATCTCATCTTTAAATCCTACTTTGAAAAAATAAAATATGCCTTACCATGCAGTATTCATTTCCAGGTGTAATAAAGTCAATTGCCTGAAATTTCCCATCACAAGCCTCTAGGATGTTATCCAAGGTTGGCTTCTCACCAAAAGTATAAATATAAACAGATCCCTGTTAAATATGTCCCCCCAAAAGAAAGAAAATTAATACAATTGTCATGTGGGCTGTTCAACAAGTATTTATTAGAGGCCTACTGTGAGCAAGGCACTGTGTAGAGGCAGGTAATTGAATATTAGAGATCAGCTCAGGCCCTGACCTTGAGGAACTTAAACTCTAAATGCTTAATTTGTTTATTGATTCACTGATTCATTGATAATTTAAAATAATCAATAAATAGGACTTTCTTCTTTTCTCTAATTCCAGGCATCTGTTTTTTAAGTTATAATATGTAACAAAAACTTTTTTCTGACTTTAAAAATAATGTCTATTGATGTAGAAAATTTAGATGTGGAAAACCAGAAAAATTGTTAAGATTAACTAAATCCTATCACATACCAGATCATGGTAGACACTAATGAAAACTTTTAATATGTCTTTGTGGAAATTGTGGAGGTGTGGCAAAAGCTGTCACTTTATGACTTATCATTCTCAGCTCCCAGATTCACTCAAAAAAAATCTGTCCTGTGAGTTATGTATCTCTGCCAAATAACGGTAATATGGCATAGTCACTTAACTAGAAATAATAAGTCCGCTTTCTCCTAATCACAAGTTCAAGTTTACTTCAGTTAAACATGAATATTTTTGTTCTTGTTTATATAAAAATACAACTCTGTAGAGTCTAAAATCTGGTAGATATTTACTTATTTCACCTTTCATTCATTACTTCAATAAATATGAAGTAGATACACTGTGCCAGACACTGCTCTGAATGCTGTAGGTACATCAGAGGACAAAAGAGACAAAAAGTCCCTGACCTCATGGAGCTTACATTCTACTGAGGGATTTGGCCATAGTTTGCTGACCTTTGCACTACATGAAAGAAATATTCACTATGTCTTACTTACAATATTGCCACAGAGAATCAGCTGTTAGTCTAATTGAAATTCCTTTGAAATAATCTGTTTTTCAATTTGACTGCTTTCAAGATTTTCTCTTTATCTTTGGTTTTCAACAATTTTACTTTGTTAAGTGTGGATATCTTTTTATGTATTCTGCTTCTGATTCACTGGGCCTCTCGAATCTGTAAATTCATGTCTTAAATCAGTTTTAAAAAATATCTCTTTAAATACTGCCTCTGCCTCACTCACTCTCCTCTCTGGGATTTCAATCAAACATATGTTACAGCTTTTCACTGTATCATTCATGTTTCATACTCTCCCTTCTGTATTTCCTACCCTTTTGTGGCTCTGGGTTACATTCTGTATAACTTCTGATCTGTCTTCCAGTTCATTAATTCTTTCTTTGTGTCCAACCTACTGTCAAACATATTCGTTTAATTTTCACTTTGTTAGTATATTTTTCTTTTTTAGATATTCTATTTGGGTTTTTCTCTCTTCTGTTATCTTTTTGTTTGTTTGTTTGTTTCCTGTTCTAGATATTTCAAGTTTGTCATCTACTTGTAATTTTTTGAAACATAGTTAGCACAGTTGTTTTTACTTATGGTAATTACCAAAAACTAAAGTCTTATCATATTGAAATTTAATTTCTTTTAGGCAGAAAAATCTTTGAACTTTATTTGTAATTCATCTAAAATTTTTGCCTAACAATATAAACTGCTGCCAATCCTGACTTTTGAAGGCCTCCATGAATTAGGAGTCTTTCTAACAGTATAATTGAGGTGAACATTTGGTTTTATCCTGCATTTATTCCCCTCTCTTTTCTTCTCCTACAGAATCCATATTTTCCTTAGAGAACCACTCATGACCCCAGTCTCAGTCCATGTTTGGGTAGGTTGACTCCACTCAGAGTCCATGGGTAGGCATGTGACTTAGGCCTGGCCAATCAGAGCTTAGAATCCATTTGGAATTAGTGATGTGTCTAGATTCCAAGAAATATTTTCCATCTGATATCTTTCCCCTGGAGTCACTAAGAAGATAGAAATAGAAACTAGAGTTACAGGAGGCTCTCTTGACATAATAGGGGAGAGTTTGCATAGAAAAAGAGGCAGCAGAGAGAAAACAGAGCCAATAGATAGTAGAAAAACAAGGCCAGTGGCATTATGGGAGCTTGTGGATTCAGATCAACTCCTTGACCTTTCAGTTATGTGTACAAAAACAAACAAAAATCTTTTGTTATTAAGTCCTTTTAAATTGTTTTATTTTTCATTTGCAACTTAAATAGCCCTGACTAGTTGAGTTACATTATGAAGCATACTCTGCTCTTCGTTTCTGTCATGCAATAATGATGATAATATCTGAAAATTTCATATTAAGAAAGCACCATCTAGCATACCTTTTCTGTTTTGATTAGTAATATTTTGTAACTGGGAGAAAACATCAAATATTCCACAGGCTCTTCAAGGTGAAGAAAATCCTCTACTGTGTAACATGAATCTTTAATAATAAAAGAATACACGAAGCCATCCTGGAGACCAAAAACAATGAGGTAAGTGCAGAAAATCAGTCTCAGTCAATGCATAATACACTTTCCTCATCGGACAACTAAGACTTATTGATTACCACCTGTTGTTTATTTTTTTAATCGTCATATATATTTACATTTTCTGGAATGCTCTGTCTACTTATCTTTATTTAGGTAACTTTTAACCATGTTTCCTGGTCAAGTTCCAATTTTATCCCTTTTGTTACATATTTTTCAATTATCTAAAATTTTACTGACCTCTCCTTTCTTTGAGCTTCTCTAGCATCTACCTTCTTAACACATTCTTTATTATACAGGAAGTGGGGCAAATGAGGTAGAGTTTATTGTGTGGCTTCTATATATAGCAGCCTCCTTCTAAGAACATAAATATATGTTCTTTAATCATTGTTATGTGCATTTCTTATCTCCCTAAATGACCCAAAGGTAGAGAGTGTGCTATTTTCTCTATATTTTTTTCTAGTTTCTCTCACAGTGCTAGAAATATGGCAAGTATACAATAAAAATGAGTTGCTTGGTTGGTTGATTGTAAATGGATTCAAGATAACTACTTTTAAGATGAATCTGAGTTACTTCTACAATAGTGAAGAGGCTTTGGGCAAATTCATCCATCATTTTTAGATTAGACCCTATTATAACTAAGAGTAGGGATTTATGAGATGACTGAGTTCAGACACTTGTAACCTGGGGGGGAAATATGCAAGGTGGTTTCTCTAAGCTTATCATCATTCTCTATGCCTCATCAGAGCAGATGCTCCAATTATTCCTTTAAATTATGTTTAAAAAACCACCAAGGATGGCCGTAAGAAGGACAAGAGTCATAAAAGGCCACAAGTACAGACTAAATATGGGAGGTTGGAGAAGTCCATTGCAAGGTTAGGGGTAGGGGATTACAAGCTGAGTGTAGGTTTATGAGCTCCAGATGGCTTCTTATTTGTGGAGCTACATCTCTAACCCCAACATCATTGCCTAACTGCCCTCAGGGTCCTAGAGATGTGATCTGTGGCAACAGAAGAGACAAAGCTAACAGTAGTTTCGAGAAGCTACCAGTAGACCTGAGATTTTAGTGTAGGTTGGCTCCAAACCTTAGCATGGATTACTGCAGCATGGGAAAGTAACATGCTCTAACCACTCTTCATATGTACTGATGCTGAGTGAACTAGGTAGTTTCTGCTTGATAGGATTATTGTGAAGAGCAATAAAATAATGCAAGTAAAGCACTTAGCATGGTGCCAGGCACAAAATAAGCACCAAGTAAATGAAGGTTAATAATACTAATTCCAAGATGGACAATAACAATATGATACAGGAAAGCTAAATGGGCACATGAAAGAGGCTAAGCTGAAGGTTAGAAAAAAGGTTCCATTTGTATCTGGCAACCCAATACATTAAGTGCACAAACAGGCATGGAATTGGGTGACAAATATTAGATGTTTTGGGGGGATAGATGTATGGTAGTTCATTATATTGTTGATCCTACTTTTGTATATATTTGAAATTCTTCATAATAAGTTTTATAATAGCATCCTAAAAGGAAACAATTTTAATAATCTGACAGAATCTGACATCCCAAATTATGGCTCATGGTAGTAAATGGAAGCAAATGGAAAATGTATATTTTCTTTTTTTTCCCCCTCTTTAATTCCACCCCCTCCATCTTCCACTGCTGACTCATGGATGTTGCCATTTCCCCCTAAGGACTGGATCTCTGAAAGTGGGGCGTCTCCTCCCACATGCTCGCGGCCCCCCTCCCCTGCCCTGAGTCTGGCACTCCTCCGGGACCTGGGCTCCCGAGGTATGGTGCGTGGCTCCACCTGAGGCGTGAACCCAGGACCTGCTGTGTGTAAAGCAGACGTGCTAACCACTACGCTATGGAGCCACCCCACATATTTTCTTGAGAGCAATTAATTTTGAAGAAAAAAATGCATTACAATTCCAGAAGCAAGCACGCCTCCCTTCTGATATGCCAAGGTGACTGGACTGAAAAAATGTCTTCCATCTTTTGGAAAAGAAAAACAAGGGAAAATGGGTGACACATAACTAAAAGTACAATACAAAGTAATTAATCTCATTTGCTTTCCTAGGACTATTTATCTCTTTGTAATCTTTTTTTCCTAAAATCAACTTCACATTAGAATATGTGCTATGATGCCTCCCACACAATGAATAATAAAAGCTGCTTAGCAATAATTATTGATGTAAATCACACAAGTTTTTTAAGGTTAGTAATATCAGATCTATGTAACTATAACACTGTAGAATTATTTAGTAGATGTATTTTCTTTTTTAGAGAAGTATTGTCAGAGACTTTAAGAGGCCAGGAAAAAAAAATATTATTATCATTGAGCTGTACTTAGGACTTGTACATTTTATAGTATGTAAATTTATACCTTAGTAAATAAAGGTCAGTGGATAAAAGTAAAAAGAGCATTTGTTATTGATAAAATATTGTCCTTGAATGTTGTATAGTTGAAACTAATATAATCTTATAGGTTAACTATACCTCAATAAAAAAAATATATCGTCCTCGGTGGAAAAAAACAAAAGCATATTACCTGTTATATAGATAAACCACGAAGATTATAAGGTCAAAAGCTCAGTTAGCATCCATCAAGTTACTTGTTTACTGCATATTATGTGCTTGGCATTTTGCCAGATGCTAAGACGCATACCGTCTTTTCCTTCAGGGACAATTCACCTCTCAGCAGTCCCTTCTTTCCCAATCCAACTGCCACTAGAGTTCAGCTTCTTATGACTCCCGGGTAGTCTAGGTGCCTGCTGCTTATAGCCACATGCTTCTAGGACTGTCCTTCCCTGAATAATGACTAAATTAATCTCCTCAAGCATGATTCCATTCAGGAGTTTTTGATGTCTGCCTATTGTCAGCTGAAATAAGTATAAACACCTTAGCTAGACATACAAGGTCAGATATAGCATCGATGTCCCTTTGTTCCCCACTATCCCTGTGTAAAACTTGATGTTCCAGACAAACTGGACCACTTCTTGCGTCTCCACCTTCCCCATGTTTTTTGTCTAGGCAGATACCATTGCCAAAAAGTCCATCTACGCTTATCTCTGCCTGTGACCCCACCCTTCAGGGGCCATTTCAAATGCCACCTTCAAAATGACTTAAGAACAACGAAGACTTAACTTGGCCTGTTTCCCTCTTCTGAATTCCCATGGCACTTCGTGAAGTTCTCCCTTAGTAAAATCATCCTAATCTATCTGGTTATAATTAACTGGCTGCTTGTCTTATTCTCTTTAATAGAATATAAATCCCTTGAGGGTTGAGATAATGAGATTATATATTTGCCACCTATGTCAACTCTGAAGCACTTTGCTTAGTGCCTTCCACATCATAGAGGCTAAACAATACCTATTTGAAAACATGCATAATATGCCATGAAAATTATTAGAAATACTATCCAGAAAGGAAACAGTGAGCAGTATGAAACCGTACATGATTAAGTCCTAAGTTGTCTATAATATGCTACAAGTGTGATAGGAGTTTGGAAACAAGAAACATTGTTTTATAATTAATTTTACAAACACATTTTGGTGCTAATTTACTCTGTAGCAATCTCTGGGATTACATTTTGGAACCTAAAGATGAGTAAAAACACAGTTACTGACATCAAAGAGTTGATGACTAGTGGGAAAGACATACATGCACATGGAGCATTGTAATAGCACAGGATGAAGCTCTCACAAAGCAGAGTCTGAAGGAACCCCAGACAGGGGCACTTAGTGGTACAATGACGGTTGGGGTGAGGACGAGGAAGGCTCCACAGCAGGCAATTTCACCAGGTAGACAAAGGAGAGGAAGACATCTTAGACAAAGGTAACTGTAAATGCCAGCAGGCAGAAGCTGGGGAGAGCACAGGAAAGATGAGAACTTCTAAAAGGCTCAAGTGGGAGTCTACAGCCATGCTACCCTGAACAAGCCCAAGACCATCTGATCTTGGAAGCTAAGCAGGGCTGGGCTTGGTTAGCACTTGGATGGGAGACCACATAGGAAGATCAGGTGCTGTAGGCCTAAAAAGTAAAGGATTATAAATTGACAAGGCCCTTGCAATCTGTGAGGTCAACCAAGGGTTGCCTTGCCTAAAAAAAATAAATATCTAGATAGTTAGATAGATAGATAGATAGATAGATAGATAGATAGATAGATAGATAGATAGATAGATAGATAGATAGATAGATAGATAGATAGATAGATAGATAGATAGATAGATGGCTCAAGTGAGAAAAGATGACACTGGAAAGGCAGACCAGAAAAGAGGCTCACTTTTCAGAGATCTGTGGGCTGATACTGTGGATGCGAGACTAGAGAGCGAACCAAGCCTGAGGGGTACAGGTGAGAGTAAAAGGAAGAGAGAAGGGATGGGGAGGAAAGTTAAACCCAGTGGTCTCTGTTTTACCAGTGAAGTGTGAGTCGGGGAATGGGAGGGGGCATAGATGAGGGATACTGCTGTAGGAGGTGGTGTCTGAGCCGGGAACTGGAGAATTCAGAGAGCAAAATGGCAAGGCAATAGGCTAAGAGGCATGTCTGCGAAACGATGGGAAGAACTGACTGGCTAGACAGAAAACTCCTGCTAGAGAGTAGAAGCAACTAATGCTAATGGCGAAGGATCGGATTAGAGGGCTTAAAAGTCAAGGAGGAGCAGTCCTTGAGTTTCATGTTGAAAATGGTCTTCAAGAAGGGCTGTTTGACAGCAATGAGCTGCCTGGTTTGGGTCAGTTGTAGATTAAGGTCAATGAAATCAGTCCTAAGGTTGCCGCAAAAATCAAGGTGTGAAATAAGAAGAGCAACTGGAAGGGAGAGCGCATTGGGCAGGTTTGGGGAGCTTATCCTGGCAATGTTTCCTTCTCAAAGGATCTACACCTAGCACCTTCTGTGACCGAGGCCCAACTCTGGCCAGAGCTGATAGGACCAGGAATAGACACCAGATCTGAAGAGACTAGATCAGGTTCTCTTACAAATTCTAACCACTCAACATAAAGGTAATTTTCAAGATGGCAATTGGACTTAAAAGAGAAGACCATTATGGTTAAAAGGGTTGAGAATGGTAGAGGGCAGGAAAGAATATGATTAGTTTATTAAACAGAACAGACGTATGTACAGGAAAGGTTGTAGCATAGTAGCTAAGAACTTGGACTTGGAAGTCTTATTGCCTGGATTCAGATAGCAGCTCCACAGTTTACTAGTTATGTGAATTTGGGATGTTTGTTAACCCCTCAATGCCTCTATTTACTCATCTATATCCTGGAGATAAAAATGTACCTCCTTGTAAAGCTGTTTTGAAGATTATATGAAATCTGCATTATAGAGTAATTGCACAATGCCTAGAACATATTACATTTAATAAACATTAGCTAGCTAGAAGGAACAAGACTTGGCAACTAACTACAGGATAAAGGAGAAGAAGGAATCAAAGATGTCTTTAAGAAAGAGAAAATAGGAAACAAAACATCTATCTTCAAGTGCAAAACTGTCACCAATGGCTATACTTCTGGGAATATAAAGCAAAGCCATTTCTCACCTAGTGGTGTTTGGCCTTCTACCTTATTAAGCACAGTTGCCTTCAGGTTTTCTCCATTAATCAATAAAAGATGACCCTCTTCACAGCCAACGTATAGGTCACTTGTTGGAGTCCAGCAGTGCACAGTTGGGTGAAGCAAAGGATATAGATCATCTTTGGGCTTCAGGAAAAGATTAGAAACCTTGTGTTAAGACAACAATCATGGCTTAAGAATAAGAGAAATACCCATCAAAACAATTTCCAAGAGGAAACAAACGAATATGGACATACAGACATTCATTGGCCCCACCATTTACCAAGAGGTAAGTGAACTTCTCCTTCCTTCCTTCACTTCTCTTTCTACATATTAATTCACTAGGAAAAAATAAAACATATTTGCCAACACAATCAGTTCTAGAGAACTTCTACACTGTTTCCTTTCTTGTATCTTGAATCTGAGGAAGTCATTGTCTAGCTACAATCACCCTTTTTTGAGGAAGACTTCTGTCAATATTTCTCCCTCCTGGTTCTGCAGGCGGCATGGATGTGATTTTCCTGCAGTGGCTGTGGAGAAGTGGGCCAACATTCTTTGCTTAGTTTGCTTTCATGGAGAATGAGAAGAGGATCTTTTGTCTGATCCTGGTGGCCTTTCTAATTTGGTTGATGAAACATCCTATGTGACTTTGATTCCATGGAAAACTCAAAGAAAAATGCATAAAATCTGTGGGACGGACCCAGAAGGAAAGCTGGCTTTGGGGCTAAAAATAATAAGGACCAAAGATCTAAGACAAATTTTTCCTAGAAAGGACAAGGTAGTAAATATTTTAGGCTTTGTGGACCACATAGGTCTGCCTCTGTAACATATCCGCTCCCTTTTCTTTCTTTCTTTCTTTTCTTCTTCTTTTTTTTTTTAACAATCCTTTAAAAAGTATAAAAAACATTCTTAGCTTGGCCATAAAAAAACACATCATAGTCTATTGATTCCTGCCTTAGACAGTAATACCTCAGTATTATGCCTCCTAAAGCCAAAATGCTTGTGTCCACTGGGGAGAGGCTGCTTACACTGTCAGCACAGAATAGGCCTGCTTGTAAGCCTAGGACCACCTGCTCTCCTTCCTTGAGGTCAAGGTAGCTCCGACAGCTATTTTGGGCATGTTCCTCACGCCATCCCCCTCCATCGCAGCACAGATAAGATTCTGAATTCAGGATACAGTAATATAACACTCCTTCTTTTCTATTTAAACAAGTCAAACTTACCAGCTTACATGTTTGTTTGTTTAACTTATATTGAGAACATAATGTTTAGTATTATCTGAACTTTTTGTTATGCTATACTATTATTTAGAACTGCATTAGCTACAATATAGTGTCTTTGTTTTCTTTAGGCATCCTTACACCCATAGGAACAGAAAATATTTTTAATAAGCCATTGGCCAAATTACCAGAATTGTTAAATTCCTTGAGAGCTCTATGTTTATTTCATTCATTTATTCATTCACCTAACAAATATATATTGGATACTTATTACATTCTAGGCACAGGAATGTGGCAGTGAACAACACACACACACAAAATGCCTGCCCTTATAGGGCTTACATCCCGGTGTGGAGAAATAGAGTAAAAGTAGGTTAAGAAGTTAAATACATAGAATGTGATGTATTGAAAAGTGCTGTGGAGAAAAATAAAGCAGGGTAAATTGAAATCGGTTCCACAATTGGGCAATACTTAAAACCATATGGACAATAGTTTTTCCATTCAAAACTTCCCAAAGTATGCAAGGCAGCTTTCTAATAAATACTCAATTAATTGAATTAATATTTTACACTGCTCTTTTAATTTAGAAAAGGTTTGTCATTTCAAGGTGAAGCAGATGTGACACTGCAAAAGTAACTATTTCTACCAGGTTCTCAACTGATATAAACTTATTGCATAACTGATATTTCAATAAACATTTATTGAGTGTTGGTTATATACCAGGCATTGTGCCAAGTCCTAAGGAATTCCATTTCTCAATAGGTTACTCACTTACTGAGGGGAGAAGTAGTATCAACAAATATCAGAATCAGAAAATATGGTAGGTTAAAGTCGAAGGGTATTTAAATGTTATGGGCACAACCATAAAAAAGCAACTGGTTCTTCCTGATGGAGTGAAGGAAGTATATATAGAGTTATCACTTGTAATGGACCTTGAAACATGACTAAGACAGAAATTGTACATAGGAGCAATCATGATAATTTTTAAAAGGACAGAATGACTTTGATTGTATAATTGGTCTATTTCATGCCTTTATACCCTTGGATTGTTAGAAAATAAATACTTGAATAACAATCTGGCCACCCAATAGGCCAAAAAAGAGGACAAAAACCACCAAGATGGATTAACATGCTGCTAAATAATGGCATTTTCCTGCGGTATGAGACTTGACTGATAGAAAAGAATTACTCACTGGACAACATTATATAATCATCATAATTTAAGTTTCTTGGGTTGTCTTGATGACATGTAACTTTAAACTGCAAATCACAAAAAGACAGACATTTCCTGGATAGTAATGGGCTCAAAATCTTAAACACACACACACACACACACACACCTGGTTCTCACACCACCAGCACCAGTGAATCTGTGCATATGCAACAGAAGGTGAGGATGAAAACTTGGAATTTTCTGGCCTTGGAATGTTAAACTAATATTGTATGTTGCTTTTCTTACTTTAAAATAAACCTGGGCTCGTCTTCCTATTATTTCCTTTCATCAATTAGTATGTTCTATGCCATTGAGTAGAAATATTTTTTTAACTCTGAAAATTTTGAGCATTATAAAAGAAAAGGTGCTAATAGTATTTAAAAATATTTCTTGATAACACCAATTCCTTGTTCAGTCCTCTGGAATCACAAATCAAACATTTTGGTCACTTGAAAACCAAACATAAAATATTTGAGTCCAATTTAATATTGCTTTAGAAAATATAAGCACCTGAATATGTTTCAGAGTATGTGAATTTAAAAAGAGATTCCTATTTAGCAACTTTTTCTTTTTTTAAGAAAAAGAAAAAAAAAGGTAGATGGAAAAAGGAAATGGGACATGTGAGATTAAATTAATTGCCTTGGATTCAATTTCTAGCCAGATAATATCTGCATTTGATTCCCCTCATGCTACTGCCAGATATCATTGCTAATGTCCTAAATAAGTTGTATGATGTGACACAGGCCTAACTAAAGCCTTATAATGTGCCTTTCCAGTGTTAGCTGCAAAAGAGATAAGAGGAGTATCTAATGTCTGTAATTTTGTAAAAATCCATGGCCTGCCCATTTCTAAGACTCTTATACAGATCAAGTCATTACTTATTTCTTTGCAATTTGGTATCCAGGTCACAAGAAATGCCATTCAAAAGAAAAAATAGAATCAAGACATTTGAAACCTATTTTTGGTTATGCTTTCAATCATTGTACAGACATTAATTAATGTGTTAGCCATTTTTCTCACCTTCTTTAGCTTTAAAATGAAAAAAAAATACTAGGAAAGTTAATTTCTAATTTAACAAAGTATATGGTTTTATTAATATTTCCTGCATAGTTTAGAGATGTCAAACTTTACCATTAAATTTCTATTTTCAGAAAAAGGTTAAAATGTACTGAGTACAAAAGTCCTAGGAAATAAAAATATCTGTTTAATTATGAGCATTTTTCAGAATGATAACTCTACATTTAAGAATTTATGGAAGGCATTCATAGCATTTTTCAAATGACAAGGACAATTGCCTCAATTTAAAATGTTTATGTAGGGTTTATTCATGTTGGTGCAAAATGTGAAAGGTGAGGGCTCCTACAGAAATTTACAACAGAAAAACAATTTTTTGATAGTTGAAAATTTGGGATATTAAGCATCAAATACTAAATATAGAAACATTTTTTTCAAGTTGTGAACTCTGATGGTTGATCTATTTCTGTTTACTTTGCTGCCTGATGGTTGATCTGTTTGTGTTTACTCTGCTGCCCCGCTGTGGCTGAATGTGGTTGTATATCCAAAGCTGAGATATGTGCTATTAAAAGGAATTAGTCATTTTCTGTAATTTAAAAAGTGATTAATCGACATCCTTTAGAGGAAACACAAGGAGCATTCATTTTCTCTTGCTTGCCAGAGATTTTTTTAATAAACTACCACACTGAATTATTTTTAACATCTATAGCTTAATTCTCTGCAGTGGTCAAAAACATTTGGGAACCTCTATCTCCTTTATCCACATCTTGGAGCTTTAACACAAACATTAGCATAATGGAGATTGGAGAGGCTTAGAATCAAGCTCCTTACCTTCATCTCAAAGGCCCGGCATGTGCTGCTCTCTGCTCTCTGCCTCCCTCCTGAACATCACCTGCACCTCACTCCCCTTTCACTTCCGTGCTCCAGCTATATGGGTCTTTTCTCAAATCCTCAAACATACTGAATTCTTTTCTTCCCCCAAGACAAACTTTGCACATACAGTTCCCCCTGCCTAAACACTCTCTACCCTGTAGCAAGAGTAATGTCTCCCAGTCCTTAAAGTCTCAGTTTAAGTGTCATCTCCCCAGAGGCCTTACTTGACTAGCATGTATTAATCTTATGCTCACCTCCATCCCTCATTTATCCTGTTACATAATTACCACATTTTGTAATGACTTAATGTATCTCTTTCCTTTGGTATCATTGTTCTGTCTTCCTGTTGGAATGTAACCACCAAGAGGCAGGGATTATTATGCCTGGTTGGTCACCATGTGACCCTATTATCTAAAACAGTTCCTGATATATAGAAGGAACTTGATAAATCTGCTGAATGAATAAATGAATGAGCGTACAGCTGTTGACAAACTCCCTTGTGAAACTTTCTTCCACTGCTTTCCACGGTCTTGTTCTCTTCTGGATTTGCCCCAACTTCCGTAACTGTTACTTCTCAGGCTTCTCTTCCTGCTCCCGACTCTTGGCAGTTTCCTCTCTGGCTCTCTTCCCTGACATCCCTTCTCTCCTCTTCATCACACCCCTCTCCCCAGTGCTTCTACTATCCTTTCTGTGAGAAAGACTCTTAACATCTGTGTGTCTCTAGCCCTGTCCTCTGACACTAGGTGCACTTTGTCAACTTCTACCCAGCATCTCCACCTGGATGTGTTCCCAGCACCCCGAATTTGTATGTCCGAAACTGAAAATCACATCTGGGCTCCCTGTTTCCGTCAGCAGTACCATCATCCTCCAGTCGCCCAAACTCATAACTCCAGAGTCTTCATCTCTCGTGGTCTCCAGGGCTAATCTGTGTTAAAAACCAGGATGATCCTCTCTATCCTGCATGTCTCACGGGATGGTTATGAGAAGGCAAACAGGAAGAGGTACCAGGTAATTACCCTGAAAGTTTCTGCCTCTTTGCCCACTAGCCCAGCAATGGCTGACAGTGGAAGCACAGGTCCGTAGATAAGATCTTTCGGCAATGAGTCGGGGAAAATTACGTCTTTTTCATTAAAAAATGTCCCGTCTTCCATAGGTAGTTTTACCGACCTGTAGAAAAAAGAAACATCAGAATAATCAAATTAACAGAAACTAGTCATTAATGTAACTGCTGCAAACTGGTGGGAAACAAGGTGGGAAGGCATTATAACATAAAAAACGAACAAAACAAAACAGATAAAGGCCAAACAGCAGATTTTAAAATATATATCATAAAAGGACAAGTAACGTATACGTTAAATATATGAGGATTTTCAAAGTTAACATCTAAAGCAAGATTATAAATTTAAATATTGATGTGGTCAGGCAGGTAAAGTGTGGTAAGGTGGTGACTGTACCAAATGGGAAATTGTTTTTCCTCTTAAAAGTGGCAGGCACCGCTCAGCTCCCACCAGGAGGGCTTGCTGACATGTGAGAATTTTGGTTCTAAAATTTCAACCTGAATATTTATAAAAATCTCTCAAATTTTAAATGTCGGCCATCAATTTGAATAAAAAACACTGTGGGCCAAAATAAACATATACATAGGTTGTATTCAGCTACCTTTATGACTCTTTGGTATCAAGATTCATTTTCAAATTTATTGTATCTACTTTTAACCTGTAATATGACTATTAAGAAGAGTTTGGGGAATTCATGGCTTTATGCATTAAATTCAGATTTTCCTTGGTTGTGTTTTATGATTGATGAATAATTTTGTAATATGATTATAAAAAAACTGTACCTACTACTCAAACTTAAGGCTTAAGTATTTTCAAATTCTGCTTGCTTTTAAACCAGAAAATCTACTCACTTTGCCTCCCACTTTACTTGCTTATAGAAAAATCACAATTCAGCATTAAGAACTAAAAGAGAATATTCAAGAGAAGCAAAAAGAGAGAAGGGTATGATAAGTTACTTGCCTACCCTGACAAGGATCTGCTAGAGACATTATCTATTCTATGAAAAGGTACTGTGCTGTTACCTCTGCCTTGAGACAGATTTGGTTATTCAGTGAGTTCTTGTAAAAATGAAATTGAGATGTAAAGAGCACTGAGCAGGAAGAAGTGCCTCTCTTAGGGTTTTGCATTTAGAAAACTTGCATTTAGCCTTACATTTCTCTTAAGAAGGCAATTTTTCAAAAATCGCGATTTCAAGGATGATCACACGGCCAACATCTCAGTCTTTACTTGGGGGAGTATGGTCAGTTCAGGGGCACCTTGAGTCTTTGAACTCTTATCAACAAAGACACCATTATCATCAACTATGACCAGGACATTGGTCATAGAATTCTCTTTGACCCAGTTCTATTTAAATAAGTAACTCCCATCATTCAACTATATCCAACTACCTTTTTACCTTTTTGTTTGTAGATAATGTGGCTGAAGGTATAATCTATGTATAAAATTTCCATATATAAAAGTTTCTTATTTTTGAGATTCCAGTTGGGCATCAAAATAATAGGAGCAATAAGTCATAACCATCCTTTTAATATAATAGGCATGTTTTGAAATAATAAGTTCAAATAAAATTTTGGAAAATTAAACTATGTTGGTAAAAGCTCTAGAAAGACTTGATATGTAAAAGAAACTTGTTGGGAAATCAAGTCATAGAGAATCTTTTTGAAATGCAAACAACCACTCCAAGGTCATTACCTGTGTAGAAAGATGTTATAACTTAAGATGTATGTACAAAGCCATTTAATTCATCAAATGAATCCAATCACATTGCATAAATGCAAAGACCACAGCTTTATTGTATTGCAATGAAATCTCTTACCTTGCTTTGAAATAATGCTCCTGGTTACTTCTTTCAATGGTCCACACAGTCACTGAACTTGGATTTGACAAACACAGCTGGCGCCAGTTCATGGGGTTAAAAGTCATCTGGCTCATATCCATTCCAAGTTGTGACTTCTTGCACAAAATGACATTTGATTCCCAGTTCCTTAGAGAAAAATCACATCTGGTGAAAAATAATTCATTTGAATTTCATATCTTGAGAACATTTATTTAATTATTTGAACCAATTTACATAAATTGAGATTTTATTATATAATTTATATAATCTATGACATTAATATCAAGTTATAAATAATTATGTTTATAATTAAACTGTGCCTGTCTAAGAAAGCAAAATAACTATTTTTTAAATATTACTCCATCATATACTACCAAGTCGAACTTATCTTCCTTATTAAATTTGTATTTAACTCATCCAAATCTAGAAAATGGAATATACCATCACATTTGCTGAATAAAAAGTGTAAGTGTCCAAGTCTCTAAACTACATATGAGTACTCCATGGATCTGGGTGTACTTTACATATTGATGTCAATTGATCATCTACTGAATTTTTGAAATCGTAGTACTGGTGCTTTTAAGTTAATTCATTTATTCACTTCAGAGAATATCTTGAATGCCTACTATAAGCAAAGTCCTTTGCTAAATGAAATGAAAAATAAAATTAATGTGTGCTATCCCCTTGTACAAAGAGCCAGCATTCCATTCAGAATTGTGACTGGGAAACTGAAACTAATACATATTGAGCTCGCCTTGTCTTTCAGCTTCCTCCTGCTCTCACCTCCTTCCATCCCCATTGCAAGTATCCTGTCCATCATATCAACCTTTCTCCTGCTGGTATTGCCAATTCCTTGGACCTTTTGACTTTTTGCCTCAGATGTCTGGCAAAAACCGCCAACCTTGGATGGATACAACTGAAAGCCTGGGCTGCTGGAGACATAGGAACAAAGATCACAGGAGTAGGTGTGTCATTGACATAAATTCCTGGTTACTGCCTCCACTGGAGTCTAAATACAACCTCCAATCCTACTGTTTCTCTGGTCAGCTCTCTCCCAGATTCTCTAAAGCAATATTTTTAATATTCTTCATTTTCCTGAAGCCTCTTACCTTTCCATCTTACTCTCGGTAAATGGTCTTGATTCCTATGAAGTAGACAGATGCAATCAGCTGAAAATTCCCCCAAATTCTTGCTATTAAGTATAACAACCTGTCAGAATGTG